CACTTTTATTTACTGCCACCTCTACAATCTCTCCTTCTCCATATACCAACACAACACCCCCTTTTTACCATCTAACCACTCGCCCCCCCCCCTTTTTACCATCCATATACTCCGATTGACTCCATCCATTACTAATCACTACCCATCACAATGTATTAGTTAAGTATGTCACAAACACATTTTTCTTCCCACTTTATCAGACTATTAGCTTGAGAACCCAGCGTTGCCCAGGGTAATCATGTAGTTATAAACCCATGTAATGTAGGGTACAATCTATGTGTCATCAAAATTGACAAATAAAAAAAAACGAGATTTGAATAAACTCAATATACCTACAACAGCTAGGATACCTTAACACAGACACACACTCTTGTACAGACAAAAACACATTGCGACAATGAACGCCCCCTGCCTTTTTTTTTTAAGTTTTCTATATTGAATATTATCTAACAGAACTTGCTGAAGCACTCAGGGACCTTGATGAATCAAGGAAAAGTAAAAATGAGGTAAACTTAATATATAGATAATTAAAAACACATCATTATTATCAATATGATTAATGGTATTGTTAAAGTTATTGTTATTATTGTCATCCTTGTCACTTTTTCTATCACTATTATAATCCCTTAAAATCTGATTTTGTTTTATTGAAATAAATAATAAAATTGTAAATATTGTTAATTTTTCTTTTTGATGAACCAAATTAAGGCACCCTAAAATTTCTTAGATTTGATTGAAATAAATATATCGATATAGATATAAATAAATTAATATTGTCAAAGGGTTTTTAAGCAATCAGCAGAGAAAAATCCTTGAAATTAAATTAAAAAAAATCACTTGCTGAAGTTTTTGTTACTGACTCAGGATGTTCAGATCTGCAGAACAATCATAAACATAATATCTTGAAGCATGAAGGTTAATAAACCCAACAGCTTTCAGAAGAAATTATATGTCCTTTACATTCCTGAATTAATGATATAAATAAATATAAAATAGTAAATAGTGTTTTTTATTTTATTTGTATTAATTTTATTTCTTCTAAAGGTGAGGAAAGAGAATAAAGAGTTACGGGATCGTGTGGAGAATCTAGAGAAAGAAGGAAGGATGCGTCTACTGGCAAGATCCGTTGGTCAGAACCATAGCAGAGATTCAGCTATAGATACTGATCTACAGGTATACACCATAGCAGAGATTCAGCTGTTTTAGATATTAATCCGATTCTCCTTTTGCTAGGAGTGGGAGACTGAGACTGTAGTACTGGAGGTAGGAGGAGAGGATGAACTAGGTGTAGAGCTAGCTGGAGGTAGAGATGATCCTATCTGTCCTGGAGAGAATCCTATTTATGTCTCATCAATTAACAAGGTAGAGTAACTTATTATATTTTTAACATGCGAAATTTTAAGGCATACTTCTTTAACAACTGTGTCCCCTTTTGTCCGAGCAAAATGACGAAGATATTTTTTTTTTCTGAAAATATTCAATCGTGGTTTCTCTAATAAAGCGTCTTTACGCGACAGGAAAAAGTAATGTAATCGACAGAATTTAAAACGATTTAAGATAGAAAAAAAAGAAAAAAAACTTAATTTTTTGTCGAGGTAAAGGGCAACCTTGTCACAGTGCGTTATAGTTTGGGCATGACACTCTTAAATTGGGGGGTTACTTATTATGTTTACAGTCCTTTTATATTAAAATTCTTGTATTTAACTTATTTTTTGTAATTTCATAAAGTTTTGTTTGAGTAAATTCCTTGAAATATTATTTCTTTCTAGATTTATAAAGTATCTCCTCAGCAAACTGATTGGTTTACAATATAAACATTTTTCTTTTATATTTTCTTTTATATTTTCAATTGTAAAGAAATATGTTTTTCTGCTTGTTCTTAATAACCCTTTATTTATATATATAAAACTAGTTAAGGGCCCAACGTTGCCCGTGGAAAAAAATAATTTTGAAGAAAAATAAAGTTTTAAATAAATGTAATATTTTTTAGCCTATGTCACCCCCAGGCTACAAATAAATCGTCCACTAAAAATGTTCAGCACATTCGATCCAGCCGTTTGGCCGGATGTAGAGGAACATATTTACATAAATACTAGATATTATGTATTATTCATATAGACATTATATTTCTGCTCACATAAAGGAGTTTCTATAATGAAAATGCCTTTATAATCTTTTGTTATAAAAGTGTTTTGCGGGGAAATATGAGCCATTGACTCTTATGTCCTAGTTCTGTAAATAGTTAGGCCCTAAGCGAAAATACCGTAAGAGCTAGTTTAATCTAGAGAAAGGGTTCGAAAATAGGTATATTTTTAAGTTACCCTCCCTTTAAACAAGGGCAGCGCATGCCAGGGGGTAACCTTTAAAGCTTTGTCAGATCAAGCATGAATTAAGATATCCATGCTTCTAATTTTGGTTTCTTTACAAAAGTGACTCGCGCATTTCTACTGAAGTGGAAAAAATGAAGGAATTATCAGGTTTAAACACTTTTCAATCTAGAAAAACAATTTTAATCTTCCAAATTATTGATGAGATGAAGGGTTGATAGGTAGTCTGTGTATCGGTTATGCACCTGTTTAAATGGAGGTCATTTGAATTAAGACAACAGTCCATTCAAGATTTTAAAAATAATATTTTTTAAAAAGTTATCCTTGTGTTCATCCTTACCTTGTTTCATTTTAAGAATAAAAAGTTTTATTCCAGGGTTCCGTGATGGAAGGGAAGTTTAAGCTAAATTATTATATATATATATATATATATTCCAGGGTTCCGTGATGGAAGTGAAGTTGAAGCTAAATGATTATATATATATATATATATATATTCCAGGGCTCCGTGATGGAAGGGAAGTTGAAGCTAAATTATTTTAGATATATATATTCCAGGGTTCTGTAATGGAAGGGAAGTTGAAGCTAAATGATTATATATTGTTTGTGAACAATGTTGATTGTCGAGATGTAGATCGGTCAACTGTGATAAACAGCCTCAGACAAGCAGGCTCAGCGGTCAACCTTGTAGTCAGGTAGTTACACAAACAACTATTGATTATAATGATCATATTGATGAAATTAATGAATTTATTATATTTATTATATTTAAATTGATGTTTATGATAATAATGATGTTAATCATATTGATAATATTGATCATATTGATAATATTGAACATATATATTATAATAATTATGTTATTGAAAATGATTATGTTAATCATATTTATAATATTGATCAAATGATCATAATGATCATAATGACCAATGACCATAATGATCATATTGATGAAATTCATCTTATTTATCACATTTTTTAACAGATGAACAATTTTTCATCAGACTGTTCGTTTTTATAATATTGATAATAATAATAATTTTAATCAAATTAATAATTTTGATAATATTTATGATAATAATGATTTGGATTTTATTGATGATTTTAATGATATTGATAACATTTATGATTTCACGATATTGATAATATGCTTGTTTTAATGATGATACTAACAATACTAATGATGATAATGATGATAATGATGATAATGATGATAATGATGACAATGATAAAAAATAACATAAATTATAGGTCATGGTTACTTGTACAATGTTATAATGAATATTAATAGTAGAAAAAATCTTACGAATTATTTAGGGATGGTCGGGGTGACTTATTGTTGATCAGTATTGAAATACGTTTTTTTAACTTCTGAAAAATTACAGTTGAATATTTAACGAAATTCACTAATGCTTCTTATGAAAATATTTTGCTTAACTTTAATGATTTCACAACAACGAAAATATTTTAAGCTCCGTCGGAGGAGTACAAAGGGAATTGCGGGCTGAAAATTTGGTTTGGCTGTCTCCGAGAGGAGATTCAAGTTGAAGACGACATTTTACAGAGGGCTTAAATTAATGGTTAACACTGTTAGGGTTTTTCCTTTAAAAAGGGCAAATAATATAAAAAACTGTTGTATACCTCCTATCAACACTTTTCTCCATGTACAATTTTGCACCAGAAATAAATATAATTGGGAAGGGGGGAGAAAGATCTTTCGCCATAATGAGAAGATAACTTTTTTAAAAAGCCAAAATGATTTAAAAGGTCTAGAGAAAATTATTGAATGTTTAACATATATGTTTGTGTCCTGAAAATTTCTGTGTTCGAATTCAAAGACTGTTTAGGACGCGATGTCTCTGTTGAACCAGAGCGGTGATGTTGTTGTATTAACCCTACAAAAGAGTATGTCCACCCCGTCCTGTGGTCCTTTGTCCTCCTCTAGCAGCGGACATATTGCCTGGGAGGACAAGTATAACAGTCCTAAACTACTCTCTACCGCCACTAGTCCTATCAAGGTCAGAATTATTTATATCAGCGACAATAAATACAATGTATCAGTGTCATTGTATTTTGAGTGGCAAATAAGATAAAAGATAAAAATTCAAAGAGACTGCAAGCGCCAAAACAGTAAAAGCGACCAAATGAGGAACTACTATCACTAGTATAGTAATTCCATGACTGGCCGCTAGGTAGTTCTGAATCACTGCTTAGGATCCATTTTATTTTGAGGCGGACCCGGTTTCTGGATCCGCCTTGGAAAAAAAATTGATCCGGATCAATCATGAACATTTACAATTTACTATTTTTTTTAACAAAAGAACAATTTTCACATAATTTTTCTTATTTTATGCTAAAACCATTCAGATAAGGAAAATTTTGATTATCTCTCTTTTTGAGGTATCAAAATTACACAAAGAGGAAAATGGGTAAAGAAATTTTTGGGTTACGTAGTGCAAGAGGGGGGGGGGGTAGAAGTGTTGCAGGAATTTATTGAACAAAATATTTGTGTGTAGGAGACCCTGCGGTATGGGTCTAGGGAGCTGGTGAAGAAGTTGATCAGCAGGGATGCCCAGACGGAGAAGTATCCACTCAACTCTAGCAGCAGTAGTGAGAGGGTAATTAACAATATTCTCTAGGACTTATCATGTAGATTTTAGTAACTCTTCATCACAATGGTATCTTCTTCTAATTTTTCTGCAGAGAAATCAGACATTCCTTCTACCGTATATCTTAGATTGGTTTGGTTGAGTTTTCAAGTTTAAGGCTTTGTGTAAATTTGTTTAGTACTCATGTTCAAGCTTTTTGTTGGGTTTTGTTCAGTGTTCATGTTTTAAGTTTTGTATAAGTTTGTTCAGTGTTAATGTTCTAAGTTTTGGATGAGTTGGTTCAGTTTTAAAGGTAGTGTTCACGAAAAATGAAAGGTGGTATAGGTTTACTGCGAAAAATAAGCGCTTTTGATCGCTACTAATTTTACTTCTATCTGTTACGTCTATAAGGAGAAAATTGTTAAAAACGACTCACACCAGAAGAACACAGCGTCCATACAAATTCGGAAAGATGCAACATTCAACTCGGATCGTAAACAAATCAATTTAATTCCAAACAAATCATTCAGATATTACAAATAATAGTCATCGATTATTTTTCGACGCATTCGTATATAGTTTATATTTCAAAATATTTTTGATTTTGTTTTTTTAAATATTTTTCGCTGGCGCTGGATTTTCGAACATTCTTGGAAAATATTAAATATAAAAAATCCTCGAAACAGGAATAAATGTTTTTAAAAGTAACTCTTAGATCATGAAAAATAAAGAATATTAGGAAATCTTAACTCAATCTCCATTCAGTGTTCATGTTCTAGGTTTATTCTGTGACGAAGGGAGGGAGCAGAGAGAACAGGAGTACATGGGGACACTTTACAGATACAGTTAGAGAGAAGTTAGATACAGTCAGGGGGAGGAGACATAGCAAGGAGCAGACTGAAAGGTAATTTCCATCCTCCTTTGCCTCCCTCTTTCTCTTGGGTCAGGGGGAGGAGAAAAAGCAAGAAGCAGACTGAAAGGTAATGTCCACCCTACTTTGACTCCCTCCCCCTTAGGGTCAGGGGGATGAAAATGAAAGGTAAAGTCACTCCCCCCTTCGCCTCTCTCCCCCTTAGGGTCAGGGGGAGTAGACAATGGTAAAATGGTCCCTCCCTGTTAGGGGCAAAAAGGTATCCCATCTTTATAAACTTAGTAGATGTCCTGACTAGAATATCATTATCTCAAAATGGTATGACATTCATAACTCTGTATTCTCAACCCCATCCTCTTGAAAACTTGTCCTGTCAGCTTTTCTTTATCCAGACCTGCCAATCAGATAATACAATAGATGATTAAAAACCTTGCTCATCACAATTCCTAAGTGGATTGATTAACAACACATATTAACCTTATTATTGAAGGAATAAAGGTTGATATTTTATTATTATTATTATTATTATTGTTATTGTTATATTATAATAATAATAATAAATACTGTATCAGAGCTCCATAAATTTGTTAAAAATTAAAACAAAATTAAATCTCTGATCATAATCTGTAAATTTAAGACTTGAAATTATGCCTACTGTCTCTCTAACCCTTTTTTGTTTAAGATCCTGCAGCATTAATGACGAGTTTACGTTTAATTAAAGTAGTTTACCTCAAGACGTGTTAAACCAGTTAGTGTATGCTGGGCCTATGGTTAGATGTAAAGGATAGAAAATCTATAGATCCCATTTAATTAGTTCGGGTTACATAGCACGGAGGATGGAGGACTAAAGGATACAAGGAGACAATACTGCAATATATCTGTTTCCATTTATTATCTTCTCTTGAGNGAATACAAAAGTACCCCCACACTCCACAGCTTTGTAAGGTTCGCATCAATTTTCAAGATAAGGTCGTCTTTGGAGTGTCTTAACGCCTTTTGTACAAGGCGTTTTAATGATAAGAATATTATTGAATAGATGAACAAAAAATAATTTATGAATTTTTTTAATATACAATTTTAGGAATGATCATTCTGATACTTCTCTTGGGCGTTTAGTACAACACAAAGACGGAGAGGATAAAAAATATTTAGATCAGGTAACAAATATATTTATATGTAAACAAATATATTTATGTATGTAAACAAATATATTTATGTATGTAAACAAATATATTTATATATGTAAACAAAATTTAAGTATAAACAAGATATATATAAACAAAAATGTATAGATATACAAATATAAAGATAAACAAATATATAGATATAAACAAATATATGTATAAACAAATATGCGGGAAAACAATCTAAGGTTTGGATAAAAAAAATACACCAATGTTCGACAAGCACTTAGCCAGATAACCCACAGATTTATTCAAATATAATCTTAATATTTGGATTAAAACCTCGGGCTTCTTTTTCTAGTAACTGAAAATCAAAAAAGGAAGTCGAGTTGCCTTGTCAATTTTGGTTCTTGATAAACGTACAAACGTTTAAACGGTTGAACTGTTTAGGCCATTCATTCCTGCACAGACGTAGCTCTAACCCTTAAAAATGTACAAATTGGAAATGTTTCAGATCGTCGATTTGAAGTTTTTTTTTACTTGAAACCTTTTTTATTAACCTCATTAACAACTCTTTATTGTAAAAACTCTATATTGTAAGAAATCTGTATTATCTGAACACTTTTCTATAAGAACTAGCTTTAGAGGGCGCTTCGCGCCCATCTTCTAAATTAATTGTGAACATGTTCTCTTTGTGTACATCGTAAAACAAAACAAAAATAATTCGCGGATTTTCACAAAAAATTTCGTGGATTTTCAAAATTTTCAAAAATTTAATGAAGATCGAATTTTGATGGAGACAAATATTTGAAATTTTGATCATTCATAAACCTTCCCTGGGGTCCCTAGATGTCCCACAAAAAATTTGGGCCCGATCGGTTCAGCCGTTTTGACGTTTATTGGATACAAACAGACAGACAAACAAACAAACAAACAGACAGACAAGCCAAATTTATATATAGATGCTATTCAGTAAGACCTCTGTATATGTATAAACTGTGCCTCGGTGTACTCTGCTCTTTGTCATCTTTTAACTGTGTACTGCAGTGTAATGATTTTACACTGTATGCGAGTAGCAATAAATGTTTTGTACTGATTGAACTCTATACTGTTAGAATCGTGCACTGTCATTGGCTCATTGCATGAACTCTTTACTTTATAATCTACTGGCTTGGAAACCCAGCTTTGCTTGGAAACTAAATTTTCTTTAGTTTAAAGTATTCAACCCATTCAACTTAGACGTTTAAAAGTTAAAACCAAGCCAACGAGTTCATCAGTCAACATTTTAAGCAAATCAGTCAAGGGGTTCATGATTACTACTTCATATATATAAAGATGTACTCTATGTACTAAATATACTTACTGTATGAGCTGTGAACAAAAGATCTGTACCATATTTAAACTGAATTATTTTGTCAATAATTGTAATTTGTTTGAGTAAATGGACAATATACAATTAACAGCAACATAACATATAAACCACGAGCCGCAAATACTTGGTCTTATACTTCAGTCCTCGACACAGTTGGTATGATAACCCTGAAATTCTGATTTGATTTGATCTAAGATGGGAACCTTGTGTTTCTAGGATAGTGTTGAGGTGCTGGCTGAACTAGATCAGGTCCTTAACAGTTATCAGGTTTGGAAATTTTGAATCTCGAGAGATTAATCAGTATTCAGTGTCCCCCCCTTTTAAATATCTCTTTCCCTTAATTTTTGGAACTAAGTCTATATTTAAGCCAAGGATATCCCGGAATAATCGAACTTTGCTGTGAATATGGTTTTAGGTATTTTCCCAAGGGCGACTTCCCAAGTGGCAACTACTCAAATGTGCTATTTCCCAGGCAACATCGGAAAGTTTGGGTTAGGTCTTCTTAGACGCCGTAGGCTGCAATGAGGGGCCGAGCGCTGTCGCTAGAACATGTTAGGTGGCCGAGCGCTGAAGCTAGGACAGACTTGTAAAGTTGCCGCTTAGGGAATTGCACAGTTGGATGGCTGCCATTTGGGAAAATACCCTTGGGAATTAGCTGCTTGGGGGGAAGTTTTTGTGGAAGTACATAGCATCATGAATGATACTGCAAGATTGTAAGTTTCGTGGATTTTATAAATATTTTACATATATTAGTCAATTATGATACCATAAGGTGTAAAATAAGGAAATTCATTTAATTGATTTAATTGATTTAATTGATTTAATTGATATTATTGATTTAAAAATGATGATTATTACATATATACACCTTGTGACCTTATGTTTTCAAATGATAATGATACTTTGACTGCTTACTGACTGTGATCCTGATGCTGATACTAAGTGTTGACTGTCTAGACTATGAGTAAGAGTACTGGTGGTTCTGGTAAAAAGAAGAGGAAGGACCGGGATAGTTTCAAGAGCGGAGGAACTTGGCCTAGGACTAGGGGTGGTCCAGTATACCAACCAACTACAGGGACTATACTACATCCTAATAAATACAAGGTAATAGTTAAAAATAGTTGTTGGTGTTTTTTTTCTACAAATGCTTTTGATTTGAAGTTATAATGATTTAATATGTAAATTTAACTTCAACCGAATTAGGAATTGATTGATATGATTTTGCTTGATTAAACGGAGTGTTTGCGAAAAATGAAAAGGGGTTTAGGCTGATATAGAATAGTATGCGATATCGGCGGCTCCTAATTTTACTTTTATCTGTTTCGTGTATAAGGAGAAAAGGGTAAAAACGTCTCATACCGAGGAGCGTAGGACCCATTCAAATTCAAGGAGTCGCATTATTCCACTCAAATCGTAAATAATTCAATTAAATTTAAAATTAATCATTCAGATATTAGAACCTATAAATGTGGATTCAATTCGATCCATTCGTATATAGCTAATATATCAAAATATATTTTTTTTTATTTACAATGTAATTTGAGCGACTATTTATTTGGCCACTTGGTGTCTCTCCCATGCAGAATTCCTAAAATATGGAGAGCAGAGATACCTAGCGGCCAAATAATCGTGGTTTAAACACATCGTATTTAAAAAATAAATGAAAATAAATTCACAAAAAGTGAGTGAACAGTGTCTTGATATTTTTATTTTTTTTTAGGAGAGGTTACCCTTGTCTGAACTATTGAGTAGTGTGCCTAAATATCCTCTGGATTCAGAGGAGCATGGACCAAACACAGATATAGCTACTAGGCTTCATCATGAGGATAGATATTCCAGGTATAGAGTAGAGTACAGATATAGATACTAGGCTTCATTATGAGGATAGATATTCCAGGTATAGAGTAGAGTACAGATATAGTCACTAGGCTTCATCATGAGGATAGATATTCCAGGTATAGAGTAGAGTACAGATATAGCTACTAGGCTTCATCATGAGGATAGATATCCAGGTAAAGAGCCGAAGAGTAAAGTAGGCTTTCCAAATTGATTTTGCGAATTTAGCGCGGAGATCCGTATTTTTACAGTGTAGAGATATTTAAGGGGACTGTGAGCGTAATTTTAAGCGACCTTCCATGCAAAGATAGCTACGCCCTATTAACAACTGTACCCTTGGCCCTTGACATCTTGATCTGATCAAAAAGATGAAAGATAACGTCGTTTTTTCAGACTCGAAAAGTGTTTATTTCTATTCATTTCTCCATTGCTTCTTTTAAGCAAGAAAACGAAATCTTTTTTGCAGAGAAACCACAAATGAATCTAAACGGTTTAAATAATCAAGAAATATGGATATCTCATTAATTCATACTTGATTTGACTAAGCTTTTAAGGGTATCTTTGTAAATCTTGCATTGTCATCTTTGCACTGAGGAACAATTGTAATTACGTTTAATTTCCTTTAAGAAGAAAAAAATAAGTTTTAGATAAATACTGTACATAGGATTCTAATTAATCAACGAAAAATAAAAAATATTCATATGAATAGTATCTTCTATAAATCAATAATTATTACTTCCCATATTACTCAAGTGTCTAAACCAGGCGGTGTATATTTTTCAGTATCATATATTGGGGGATAACAATTAAAAATTAACATCGAAAGGCATTTTTTTTTTATTGATACTTTTTACCCAAAAATTTATTTATTTTCTCCAATTCAGCGAATAAAACCCTAAAAACAATCCGCGCAAAATTTATTTTAAAAAGGGGGGCGGGAGTGGAATGATTTTAACAAATCCACGATTATTTATCCACTATTTACTTCCAAGATTGGTGTCCCGTGATGTATCTGATGAACTGAAGGGTGGATACAGGTCCACGTTAACCCCCTCGGATACCAGTATAGACGACTCCGTCAAGTCGGGGAAGGTTGGGAAGGATGTTCTTCTCATGTACTTAAACAAGACCAAGCCAGCAAGGTAATATTATTTACGGGTTGGAGTGACGCTTTATATACACGCTTTCCAATTAACAGACGTCTGTATTCAGGGATATTTAAGGATGCTTTTATTTAAAATTCGGTGATGGTGATGGACCAAACCTCTGTAGAGTAAAAAAAAGTAGATTTTAGTTCCACATTTATTGAAAATATATTTCGGTCTGGGTTGACCCTCGTCAGTTCTTGAGATTGTTTCTGTCACAAAGATTAAAAACAAACTGAGGATCCTTTAGATACGAAATACAAAACCTTCAAAAATAGACTAATTTCATAGATTTTGTGTTTTATAAAAGTTAGAGTATTTCTTTAAAAGTTCTAATACTCAACCCCTGAATGTTTATTATGAATTGGCCGTTAGTTGGCAGTAAAAAACCTTTCGGGGTAATGTATGATGTTGTGACGGTACAACTTTAGGCCCTGCTTACTGCATAGTCTAGCCGTGGGAGCAGTGTGTATATCTAGTCTTCGGTTTTCAACTTTTGTCATTTTTTACAAATTCTATCACAATGGAGGCGGGATGTTTGTTTTTTTCAGCAAACTCTGTTCTTTTAATAGGATAGAATCCTGAGTACTTTCTTCCTCTGTAGTATCTATTATTATAAGAAAAGACATATTTTCACGATTTATCTTTTAGATTGCCGGCCAGTGATAGTGAATACATCTCTCCTGTAGAACAGTTTTCTCCATCCCTCGTCTCTCAGTATAATAGAGAGTTATCCCCCTCTCTAGCAGCACAATATAACAGAGAACTCTCACCCTCCCTACCCTCTCAGTATAAGAGAGAACTCTCTCCTTCCCTACCCTCTCAGTATAAGCGGGAACTCTCTCCTAACCCGTCTGCACAGTACAAACGTGACTTGTCAAAGTCAGGTAAATTCTAGTGACCTCGTAGCTTCTATTTTGATTTACGCACATATATGAAAAAAGCATATTCATTTTGTTACATACTAGACATTTTTTTTCTTCTATTGAGCTCTTTAAAATGAAAATTTATAATTGAAAACATGTAAAATTTACGTTAAATTTTACGTACGTTTCTTACTTCTGAAATCTGGTGTTGATAATGATTCAAACCTCATAGAGTAAATTAAGTAGGTTCCACAACTTTTTTGATAATGTAAGAATATTATATTTTAGGACAAGAACATTATATTTTAGGACAAGAATATTGTATTTTAGGACAAGAATATTGTATTTTAGGACGAGAATATTATATTTTAGGACAAGAATATTGTATTTTAGGACAAGAATATTATATTTTAGGACGAGTATATTATATTTTAGGACAAGAATATTATATCTTAGGACGAGAATATATTTTATAACCAGAATATTATATTTTAGGACAAGAATATTGTATTTTAGGACAAAAATATTATATTTTAGGACAAAAATATTATATTTTAGGACAAGAATATTATAGTTTAGGACAAGAATATTGTATTTTAGGACAAAAATATTGTATTTTAGGACAAGAATATTATCATCTTCCAACATCTCGTGTTTCTACCACGGGATTCTCTCCTTATCTACCCTCTCATCAGGTGATAGTTTGGATCAAGTTTAATTTCAATATCACCCTTTTAACTTATCTTTTTCATTAATGTCAAGTTGTATAAAAATTATTTTGTGAATTATTAAAAATAATTATTTTTCAAGTGTATTTAAATAAATTTTTGGCCATCAAGTATCAATAAGTTTTAACAACTTGCCTTTAGATGTTTAATTTTACTTATGTAGAAAACCAAAAATTCTTTATAAGTGTATAGATAATCTCCTCCCCCCTGCTCCCTGCAGTAGTATCTAACTATTATTATTATTATTATTGTTCTGTTTAGATAATCTCCCCCCCCCCTACTCCCTGCTCCCTATCCCTGCTCCCTGCAGCAATATCTAATTATTATTATTATTGTTCTGGTTAGATAATCTCCTCCCCCCTGCTACCTGCTCTCTGCAGCAATATCTAATTATTATTATTATTATTGTTCTGTTTAGATAATCTCCTCCCCCCCTACTCCCTGCTCCCTGCAGCAATATCTAACTATTATTATTATTATTGTTCTGTTTAGATAATCTCCTCCCCACGGTACTCCTCTCCTCCCCCCCTGCTCCCTGCAGCTGTATCTAATGACTCTGTGCTTGGTTCTCCTATACCCCGGCAGTATGAGGAACCAAGATTCTACCCTCCCCTGGAGCCACCTCAATCCTCTATATCTCCCACAGCCGGACTTTACAAACATTCACCTTCTCCTTCACATGATATGTTCAGGTTAGGATAATTATTAATAACTTATTTCTGCAAAATTTCAATGATTTTATTAAGAAAAATCTCCGTTTCGCAAAAATTGAAAAATTATCAAGATTTTTTTCATTTTTCATAGTCTAAATAAAAAAATGATTTTTAGGATACCTCCAAGCCATTTCCCGCACTCTTATCAGCCTTCACACTCTAACCAGCCTCCCTCTCCATATGCTAACCCAGGTAGACTTTAAGGATTTTAGGGTTTTAGGATTATAGGATTATAGAATTTAAGCAATTACGATTATGGATTTTAGGATTATAGTTTAAGCAATTTAGAATCATAGGATTTTATAGGCTTTTAAAGAATATATCAAAGAAAAAAGTTTCAGGATTAAAAGAATAAATCAAAGAAAAGTTTTATTATTTTTCTTAACAAAACATTGAAGGATTCAGTTTCATTTACCATTTTTTACTTTTCAAACAAAAAGCATTAATTATTTATAGGACTTTTCCCTCACTCTGTTGGGAATAGTTCTGTGCTACTCTCTCAACAGCTGGGGTATATTTATAAACATCAGGTAAAAATAATATTTAAATATGAAGTATAAAAATAAATTTAAAATAGCATAGTTCGACAGCAAATTTTATTTCTTTTATCTATATATCTTTGCAACCTGATTTTTTAGAACTTTGAAATCAAACAGTCAAAGTTGAAAATATCACAGGTTTTCATTTTTAGGTTATAAAGATAAAAAGAGTAGACAATTTTAGTTTTTCAATTCTGAAATTTAAGATTTTGAATTCTGGCCCTGAGACCAAAATTAGTCCGACTTTTGAATGATTGTCAACTTGGCATTTTTATCAAACGAGTTAAATTTTTATGAGGAAACAGGTGTGCATGGGTTGAACTGGTAAAAAAGTAAATCTTCTAAAATTAAGGCTAAGGATCTATATATATTTTTATTTGGATCTAGCCGATCTTTGATCTGCTCTGAAAAAAAATGGATCTGGATTTGGATCCAGACTGAGGTTTTTTATCTCTTTTTATTCCAATAATAATATTTGTTAAGGATGATAACTTGACACCTCCCACCTATGATGTATCTTCAGCCAGCAGAAGTTTGCACGGGGTCCACGGAATAAGGTAAGATTGTATGCATGACCATTATCCACTAACACATAACACTGGAACAGGCTTCGTACATTTTTACTCACAGTGCAATATTTAATTGAAGTTTAACACGACTAACTCACTTTACACTGCTTTCTAACTCATACTAATCAATCTTTATTTTTAACAAGCTCGCCAAATGGATTTGACAGTAAGTCTAATGCTTTGCAATCATTCTCACCGGTTAAAGAGAAAAGGTCAAAAAGTCTTCATCGAGGAAAGAAATCAAATTTTGGTACATTTCCCCGTAAGAAAAAAGAGCGTGATTCCAGCAGATATAGGTAAACAACATTTAAAATAAATCATTTGATTTTGAATTTATGTAAATGTCTGACAATTTCATATCAAACACATATTTTCATGCAGCCCAATTGGTGGAACTTTGCCAGGTAAAAAAACTAGAGAAAAATTACGCAAGGCAAGGGATTCTGGAAGTAGTGGCAACGATCGTGATCGGTCTTCAGGATCAAGAAAAAGTGGTGATAAAATGGTGAGAAAGCCCTCAAAGGAGCTGTTAAAAATTCAAAATGTGTCTGACAGCACTGATGAGGAAGATTTAAAACCTACAAGGAAAACTAACTCTCGAAGAAATGGTTCCCACTATTCTGAGCTAAAATCAAGCCAAGATCATCCTGATAGTCAGGAAACTGGGAATGATGATCAATGTGGACTCAGCTCTACTTCTAAGGAACAAAGCCCTAGAAATAGAATTAAAAAGAGTCCAAGCTTGGGACAAAAAAGTCCCCGACCAAAGAAGCCAAAAAGAAGTCCTGAGAGGTCCCAAAATAGCAATGCATCCTCCACAACATGTAAAAGTTTGAATTCTCAAATAAAGGACTATGTTAAATCCCCATCTAAGTCTCCTAGGCCTTTGTCAACATTTGATGCATTTAACCATACCAGCTCCTTGAAACTAAGTCATCTGCATAGCAGTCAGGATAAACCTAAACATGACAATCAAGGCAAGTATGACAGTTATTATGATTACTATCATCCAAGAAGATCATCAAGGGAGGTCCTGGATTTTACTTCAAACCGAAAGTCAACCAAAGACTTGACCAAAATTGAAGATGATGCTAGTGTAGTTGTGAAAAGAAATGCATTTAAAAGAGAAGGAAGAAGTAAAGAGGACAAAGATATGGGAGATTCAAGCAATAGGAAAATGTTAATTTAAAATTTAGTATTTTATTTTTATTAAACCTCAATATTTGACATAAATATGAATAATGAATATGTTTACTTTGCTTAAAATACATTTTTAGTAATTAGTAGTTTTGAAACCAAGTACAGTAGAAAATACTAGACACAATAAAAAGCTAAGGCTTCTCATAGAGAATCTATATGAATCAATAATAAAAGTTTCTACAATTAGCATTTAATTTGACAGATGGAAGGAAAGTGAGCATATGCAATGTCAGTGTATACCAAGCCCGAGTCCTAATCGTGAGGATAATAGGGATGGACGGGAAATATTTGATTTTACAAGTAAAAAGTTATCAAGTATGCAAGCAGGATCTAAAACCCTGCAAAGAAAAAAAGACTTGAAAGTTGAGAGCTCAAGAAAAGTTGAAAGCTGTGGATTATCAAAGTCTCCGCGGAGAAATGAAGACCGAAGTGTTTTTGATTTCGGTGGGAAGAAAGATTCTGGAAGCGAGGGGATCTACGGGAGAACAAATTATTCAAGACGTGAAGTTCTGGATTTTACATCAGGGAATGATTGATTTATTTTTCATTGAGACAAGTGATTGATCAGTCATTAACTTGGATCTTTTATGAGTGTTTATCCTTGGGGGTAAAGCTTACTAATAAAGTAGTAACTTATACTATATATATACTTTTATCATGTCCCCTAACTGATATTCTTCTTTGGAGGCCCATATGTTAATCCTGGCCGGCTGTACTTACTGACAAGATAAAAACTGTTCTTCAGTGAAAATTAAATGAATATTAGATAGATTAGTTGAGTAATTTTTGTAAAAACTTTAAGCACTTTTATCCCAATTTTTGAATTGCTCAGTTAGAATGTATTATCTAATCCTTCCGTAGGATCAGAGAGAAAGGAGACATCTGAATACAGTTCAACCAGTAGAGAGATTCTTGATTTCACATCTACCTCAAGGGTGGACACCAGTGGGACTGCAGGAACTTATAGATAGACATTTATTTGAATATAGTTAACTTGAAAGGAGTTTTCTTTTTTCTAGTAATTTTATGTTGGCGAGGTATTGATTCTAACTGAAGAAAGCTAACTATAATATAACAAGTGTAGGCTCAGAACTTGATGGGAAATCTAGACTGGCGGTAACAAGTGAAAACTCTGGAACTGAAGGAACTGATGGATACAGCGCTATGGGTGGAAGCAAATCAAGTTTCGACATGACAAGTGGACCTTCAGGGAGAGAGAGTAAGGCATCATTTGAATCTTCATACAGGAAAGAGCGTAAACCAGTTTATAAACTTGTACATGGAACCAGTGAAGAACCCCAGGAGGCTCTACCAGTCGTTGATCCCTACGAGGATAGCATCAAGGAAGGGTTCGGTAGCTCCCGTGGTGGAGGGGACGGACTTAGCTCTCAGAACAGCAGAGAAGATTTGGATAAAGTTCCCTCCGCCTTCTCTCCCCTCTCCTCTAGAGACACTATTGCTCCTCCAGACCTGTTTAACACCAACTCACGAGCTAGTAGCATGGACACCCAAGTAACCAGACCTGAGACTAGACTAGATATTTGGAGCAATGAGAAAACCTACACCTCACAGACTTTATCCAGACGTCAAAGCAAATCCCACTCACACAGTCGCAGTAAAAGATCAAGGAATAGGTCCCTCGAGATGGTTCTTGATGAAGCTCCTGTAGATAGTTCTGTGACTAAAAGTGATCAGATTAGATCTAGACATTTTTCTAAAAGTTTAGAAAGACCTAAGCCTAGAAGAGCAGACAGGTATAAGAACAACATCATTTAAGTCTTCTGCTCAGTTTGCAGTCATACCTAAGGTCTTCAATTCAAAACGTATATAATAAAATATATTTTTGAAAATTAAAGCATTTTTGTTTTAGCCTTCTTCTCTTATACTACAAGCCCCTTTAAAGTTAAGTATATTGATATGAACTTGGTCTAATTTGTTTCATTTTATCTTGGACAAGAAAATTTCCAACTTAAGTTTTTTCAATAAATAAAATTTGGTAATTTTCTTGTATTTTTAAACTAGAAATACTTTTATGTATTATTTTTTTTATATAAAATTGGCTAGTTTTCATTTTGTTCCTTTAATTTATGTAACATAACAAAACATATTCAGGCATCTTTCTACATTTAACAGTCAAAATGCACTGTTTCTTAGTGTTATAAAATATATAGGGATTAGAAAATTTTAGCTTGTGGCAAAGTTTCAAATCCTTTGCGCAAAGTTTCGGTAACTATATCTTAGTAAATTATCAAAATTACCGACAACACTTTAAATCCTTTGCGCGTAGTTTCAGTAACTATATCATCTTAGTAAATTATCAAAATTACCGACAACACTTTAAATCACTATTTAGCTAAAGTTATGAAGATTACGATGGAGGTTACATAAACTAACCTGAAAATACGAAAACAGTCCCTTTTATTGACTTAAACTTGGTGTATTCCAGGACTGATGAGCCTGTCCCGGCAACTCTCTGTGTATTATCATGAAGTAAATTCAGAAATACAGGGTTGCCCTCAAAAGATGAGATTTGTCCCAACTGGACAACATTTTTATTGTCTGTTTTCTTTAATTTCCTGCTTCTGTAAACTTGTTTTTTTTCTGAGGCAAATCATCAAATAAGCCATCTAGAGTTTATTTTCTCGCCAGAAGATTGATTTAAACTTGAAATTGTCTTGTCCTCAGAGCTTCAACTCGTCTTTACAGTCTCATCCTTAGTGGGTAACCCTGTATCTTTCCTCAGAATGCCTTACACACATCTTCCATATCTAATCCCTTTAATTTGATCAAAACTTAAAAGTCATGCACTGGGAAAACAAGATATTGTTAAATATATTTTAAAAAAGGAAAACATTTGGGTTAATTTCGAGAAAAATCATTTAATACATCCTTAAGTTAAAATCTAACTAAAGGTAAAAAATCTTCACTAATAATTTTTCAAAAACCAAAAACTCAAAAAATATATGAGAGAAAACACTTCATGTTTTGGGGGAAGAAATAGTAAGATTTTAAGCATAACTCATAAAGTTTATTCCAAATCCTTTTTTTTCACTTTTTTTCTATATAAACAATTTTATGTTGGAAGATATGTATGGAATTCTAAGCATTTTTGTTTTTCTTGCCTCACATTTTTTATCTTTTTCCTCCCTTCCCCCCCCCCTTTCCCCTATTTAGCTTTTATAATCTTATATAGGTTCTTTCCAAAGGACACTGGCATTTTTTTAGGACGTTTTCCTAGTTTATGAACTCTAAAATGTTGTTTTTTGATGTTGTGAAAATAAGTATTTAACCCTATTCCGACTGACATCTGGTTTACTCTAAATAGATTGTGTCGTCTGTTTAAAAAATCTACGCAAAATTTCTTTGCAGAAATTGTGCATTCTGTTTCCTTGTGTTGTAGGCTTTCCAAAGAGCTATCAATGTTTAGATCCAATGACTGGACATGGGTCTAAATTTGGATTTAGTCTGGTAAAGGTAAAGAAAGGGCAATTCAGGCAGTATGCCTGACGACTCGTGAAGTAGGTATAAAAGCCCAGCTTTTAGCCTAAAGTGAGGGACATGTGTTGAAAAGTCAAAAAATTTAACACCCCCCCCTCCCCCCTCCCCCTCTGTCGGAATAGGGATAAAAGTTCCAATTCGGAAAATGGCATTCCTTTTCATGTCAAAGCTTAAACTAATTAAAATATAAGTAGATAAATACCAGTTCAAGTAGAACTCCTCAATTTTGTTATTGTTAACACATTTAATGTTATGGCTGAAAATTGATATTGTTTTTAATGATCTGTTCTATATTGAAAATTATTCAAAAAATTAGGTTGCTTCGTGCCCTTCTTTTCAGTGTAGTTCTGGGCTGCTTTCTCGATGTACATATTTATTCCGAAGTACGTATAAGAATTGTTGCAGAATTATTCTCTTGCCAGTCACTCCCTTTAATGGAATGAGACAAAGATGAATAACTTAACAACTTATTGATGGATTCTAATTCTATAAAGTATGGATCAAATTATGGAGTCTATTTTCAAAAATTTGGATCTAAATGATGGATTATTTTTTTGTAAACGCCTGGATCCAATTTATGGATTCTATTTCTAATAAATCGTGGATCCAATTTCTAAACAAGCTTGGATCCAATTCATGGATTATATTCCTAAACAAGCGTGGATCCAATTCATGGATTATAATTCTAGTGGATCCAAATCATGGATTATATTTCTAAACAAGCGTGGATCCAGTTCATGGATTATAATTCTAGTGGATCCAAATCATGGATTATATTTCTAAACAAACGTGAATCCAATTCATGGATTATAATTCTAGTGGATCCAAATTATGGATTATATTTCTAAACAAGCGTGGATTCAAATTATGGATTATATTGCTAAACAAACGTGGATCCAATTCATGGATTATATTTCGAGTCGATCCAAATTTTGGATTATATTGCCAAACAAACGTGGATCCAATTCATGGATTATATTGCTAAACAAACGTGGATCCAATTCATGGATTATATTTCGAGTCGATCCAAATTTTGGATTATATTTCTAAACAAGCGTGGATTCAAATCAAGGATTTTTTATCTCTAACAAAATGTTGATCTAAAGTTTTGGAGCAGGGTATAAAAGTTTTAAAATATGGATTCTGAATTCATATATTAAGCTATTGCTTCTGTTTCTAAAAAAATACTAACCAGCATGTTTCAACTTTATGCATGGATTTTGCATGCTTTATTGTAAACTAAGTTTTATATTAAAAAACTTAGTTTCAACAAATCTTTAAAAATCACTTAATAGTTAAATATTAAAATATTAAAATATGGCCTGGCGCTTCTTAGTTAGAAAGAATGTTTGAAAGAAATGCAATAGTTTTTTCATTATTTTTGCTTAATTATTTCATCTGAACAAATGTTTGATCTAAAAACTACTTCGGAGTGATTTTCAGATATCTTAACATATAATTTTAGGCTTAGATGAAAAATTTTCAAAATAATACGAAAGCAATTTTCACAGGAGAAAAAAAAACTCCCTTTGTACAAAATTTTTTAGAAATATTTCATCTTGCCCTGAAATTTATTTATTTATAAATTATTTTATTTATCATAAGTTGTTATTTTTGCACATAGTGTTATTTTTGTTTGTAAACACAACGATGTTAGAAATATATGAACATTTTTTCATATCTTCTGGATTTTTAAATTATCTAAAAAAAGTCGTTAGTTTGAAAGATAATTAATTTTCTTATGGGGAGTATTTTGTTTCATAATTTGAATTTTACGATTTAATAGTTGACATAAAGCATTAAGTTTAATAAGCAATAAGTTTAATAAGCATTAAGTTTAATAAGCTAAGACACTATAAAGCATATGTTTTCATATTATCTGGATTTTTCAATTGGCCAAAAAAAAAGAGCTAATATTTTTATGGGAAATATTTTGGGTTGGTATTTTTAAATAGTGAACTAAAAGAATAATTTTTTATAAAAAAAATAAAAATTTTCAATTTTTTCAAAGTCCAAAGGTTTTTAGAATCAATTTATGATTAAGTTAATTTAAGTTGTTGTCAATCACTTAATACGTATATGTACTTGATATAGTTTAGATCAAAAGTTTAAAATTTGAATTAAAATTTTATTTTAGGATTCCTTCCAGCTCTATCCTTGGCTCTAGGAGCAGTTCAGGGTTCAAAATATCCACAGGAACCTTGTCATGCAACTCAGAAATAAATTTTCACAATTATTTTAAAAAACGATCGATTTTTTTCGAACAAACTTTTGAAAAAACTATCGTTTTTTACTGCAATAACGATTTTACTGAATCATTGTTCAGTAAGAAAACGAACAAAATATATGGAAAATTAATGATATTTTTGAGTACGTAGGAAATCAACGAATGAAATGGGTCGTTCACGAACAATAAAGGAACGAAATGAAAAATTCCGAACGTGTCCGGCCCATCTCTATCAGAGCGCTTTCTTAATCAAAAAGTTCTGGCTCCATCCGGGGTAAAAAAAAATAAAAACTACATTTTCACTACTTATTCAACTATTTTTTTCATACATACACCACCAGAAGTCAAAACTTTTGTAATTTGCTCTCAGTCCCCCCCCCCCTCCGACGAAAACAGCAATTTATTCTTAATTTTAAATCTTGAAAACCCTCTGGAAACCATATGTTTTACTGCACCAAGGGGGGAATTCCCCCCCCCCCCATGTATGCCTTTGGCTGTGTCTATTTGATTTGATAATGACGAGTGCGTTGTAGGAAGTATTGAGCGTCCATTTTCTGATCGTTCATCTCCGCTTCCAATTCCGTCCTACCATGTGGAAATATTAACCACAGGGAGGAGAACTAATAGAACATCAATAGGTAAAATCAAGTTTTTTAACAAATTTATTTTTTAAATTAAAATTTCAACAAAATTCTATAAAAAATTAGATGATAGCAGCTGCAAATATTTTCTTGTTCGTGCATCTTCCATCATGTTCGGCAAAAATATCCAGAAAATTCGGAAATAGGAAGACGACTTTTATTATCAAGTTATAACTTTTAAAACGCCCAATTAGCATGAAACCCAGCAATTGTGTAGTATAAACAGACCATTTCACTAAATTAGTGATTTAATAAGTGTAAAGTAAATCTATTTGTTATGTTACAACATTAAATACACCTAAATATTGATATAATGTCGTCTTCCTATTACAATGTTTCTGATTTTCACTGAATAAATAAAGGAATTTTGATTTTGACTGTCCTTGCCCAGATAGAGATTTTTCGGGTCCTTAAAATCACCTTCTATAAAAAAGTTTTTGAGTCTTGGTGTTTCTTTTTTCGCAAGCACTCCCTTGAAAGGGACATTCAGCGTAATTTCAACTGACCCGCCATGTACCTTTAAAAGCTTTGTCTGATCAAGTATGAATGAGACAGCAATGTTTAAAGTATTTTAAACAGATTCTTTTCATTTGTGTTTTCTTTACAAAAGTGACTTGCACATTTCTACTGTTGAAAACATTTAGGAATGATCCGATTTCAATTCCTTTAACCTGAGAAACACGAGAATATGTTTCATATTATTAATTAGATAAAGGTTTCACGTTGATTTTGGGCGTTGCCATTATTAAGATTACGCTTATAGTGTGCTGTTTTCTTTCAGGTATTCCATCTGAGCATAAACCCTCACACGGTGAAATTCGACAAATCCATATTGAGAAGAGTTCCGAGCAACTGGGGATAACTATAGAGGAGGGTGGGAACAGCAGGGGGGCAGGAGGAACCAGGGGGGTATTCGTCTCATCAGTTACACAGAAGAGCTTAGCATACCAGGCCGGGCTCAAGGTTGGAGACCAGCTTCTAGAGGTCTGCGGGATGAATCTTAGATGTGCTAACTATGATCTAGCAGCTAAGGTATCTATAGTTATTATTATTATAATTTTTATATTTTTTTTATTTTTAGTATTATTATTATTATTATTAAAAAATGCCCATTTCAATTGTGGAAATGTTCTCTTTTTATAATTAAAATCAAATGTTGTTGGAGGCTAATTTCTAAAATTTTGATCATTCATAAACCTTCCCTGGGGCGAGAAGCCTCACAAAAATTGGTTCGGATCAGTTCAGCTTTTTGATAGCTTTTTAATAGCTTTTTAATAGCTTTTTAAGTAGACTGTATTTCACGTTATATCAAGTGACTGATGAAATTTTTGAAATCTGATTATTTTTGTTTGCGGTTTCTTTCTACAAAAGTGAGTTGTGCGTATCTTGTTTAAGTTTAAAAAATAAAGGGTCGCTGAAATTTTCACCGAAAGTTCCTTTAATCAAAAATGTATTTAAAGTGTTTTATTACAGGTTCTACAAACAGTTCGGAACTCCTTAGATATCAAAGTTCAGTACAATCCTGATAAATTCCTACTCGACGAGGACTCCGGAAGTAATCAAGATGATGATGATGAGGAAGATGAAGAGTCTAGTGAGGAGGAAGAGGAGGAGGATGAGGAAGATATCCCTGTCCGTAAATCCTCTCCTAGATCCGGATCTCCTACGCCGCGGAATTCTCCTAAAATATCTCGGACTCTAGAGGTCCTCCCACCGTCCTCTAGTTCTACCCTACGAGGTCCAATACAACCCTCTTTATCCTCCAGCTCTACCCTAACCAGGCACCAGGTCCAGGCCATGGTCGCCCAGCTTGCCAGAAATCCGCCAAATCAGAACGAACACAGAAATACGCAAAACTTCGAAATGCTGAGAAATCCTCCAATATCGGACCATTCTCGCAGCCAGTCTACTCCCCATCCTGTTGAACGAAACGCCCAATCTCCGCACTACAGGGAGAAGATATCCCCTCAGTATCATGAGCCTAGACTTGTCTATCCTGTTATGAAAAAATCTGGTGACCTTGGTGTACGTCTGGTGGGCGGAAACGCCGTCGGAATATTTATTCACTCCGTCGACATTGATTCCCCGGCTTACAATATCGGTTTACGGTGCGCCGACCAGATTCTTGAATACAACGGAACAGATTTACGGCATGCTACGGCTGAGCAGGCGGCCTATGAGCTGGCTAAACCGGTTGAGAACGTGTCTATCTTGGCACAGTATTGTCCGGAAAAATACAATTTAGCTAAAGATCAACCAGGGGACAGCTACTACGTCAAAGCAATGTTTGACAGGTACAGTAGTTGGACTTCTTTTAAAGCCTTATTTGATTTACCCACAACGGATGAGAGTTCAGACTTCTATCTTTTATTCGTGCTTCTCTGAAAATTTTTTTTTTCTGTAGCCAAAAAATAAATGTGCCATGAAAGTATTTTATCAAAGACAAATGCGAGTTTCAGGTCGTCATTTAGGTCCAATCAATTGTGGGTAACCCTATATAGTACATAAAACATATTTAAGTGTTTTCGAACATTGTAATAGTTTCATGAGTTTTATATGATGAGCGTTATGAGATTCTAACAGAGTTTTCGAAAGATCGAACGGTCTGGATAAATTCAAATCTTCTGTATTCTGGATTTCTGTAACAGTTTGTCTTCATGATGTGGTTTTTAATAAGCCTATTCTATAATATTAATTAAAGTTTCATGAGTTTAACTAATATGTTTCATGAGATTTCAACAGATCAAATTATCTTTAATTCTTTTTGATAGGTCCAAATCAGCGGTAGGAGTTCTGTAACAGTGTATCTTTTTTGATGGCCTTTTCAGACTCCATTTCATATGTCCATCTTAAACATCTTTAATATTTTACCACTTTATTGTGTTTTATTATCTGTATCGTTTTGTTCAGATTCCCAGATTCTAACCAACCATTCCTGCTGCAGTTTAAAAAAGACGACATTCTGTTTGTTGAAAACACCATGTACAACGGAGTACCAGGTATACTTTAAAGTACTAGACTTCTTGATATTTATCCTCCAAAATGGACAATGACTCAGATATTTTACAATATAAACAGTAAACACGTCTTATTATCAAATGAATCCTAAAATTGTGCTCTATAATATTGCACTCTCAGCTCCGCTACCAAGTCTAGGCGGTCTCTCCCTTTAAACTATTTCTGAAAATAAATTTATACCATTCTCCTAAATTAAGGAGACTGGTCTGCGTGGCTGCTGGGACAGGATGGGGAAAAGAAGAACTGGGGGATAATCCCCAGCAAATACAAGGTCGAGGAGGAACTGCTTCTTAAGCGTCCTCTCAGCGAGATTGACAGCGACGGGACCCGGAGATCGTCAACCTCGATCAGACGATCCATTTTTAAACGCAGGTAAGATTGTTATATAATTGATGTTAGGTATTGATTAACCCTTTTCAAGCTGATATAGTACAAATCTATAACATTTTATACCTTATTGGAAAGACTTTGTTTGGGCTCTACATTAATAATCCTAAAATAATGCAAATTTCCAAAAATTCAAATATGTATTGCAAAATACATTTTCTTGTTTAGGAAAGGCACAAGGTCTAGCAGTAGAGACAGTAAGGAACTGGCTTCCTATTCTGATGTTTCATCTTTTGCATCCGAATCAGAGGGGGGAATATTTCAGGTACAGTACAGTACAGTACAGTACAGTATATTAATTTTAAGTACAGAATAGAAAATATTTAAATATTCGATGGAGTTTTGTGAAATTTGATTTTATTTTAAATTAAAAATTAAATTAATTTATATTTTTTTATTTACAGGAGGAGTCTCAAATATCTAGTTATGTGAGGGTAGAGAAGTTTGATTATATTATGACAAGGTTGGAATCTTTTTTGATTAAATTAAACTTTATCAAAATTAAATCATCAGAGATTTTATTTTACAAATATTGCATATTTTGAACTTACATGACTAAATTTCAAGTCGTTTTCAACTTCAGAGGGAAATTTCCGATTCACAACGGTACACCGATATCCTTAATAGCTTTNAAATGTTAGGCGTCTAATATCTAATTAATTATTTTAGACCAGTGTTGATAGTTGGTCCCCTAGCTGATGCGGTTGTAAACAAACTAGTTTCTGACCGGCCTCATACATTCGTCAGGTCGGTTGCTTGCGTAACATAATTATTTTTAATTTTAATTTAAACAAAATTGTATTAATAATTAGATATCAGCTGCAAGTATTTTAACAATTCCGTTTTTCTATATCTCCATTTTCTTCTTGTTCGTGCATCATCCATCATGTTCGGCTAATTTTAAAAAATAAAAAAAATTTTAATGACCTCCTTACAATTGCCGTTTTTGGCAAGTGGGTTGCATATTATTATCGTCATCCTCGCTGTCATCGTTATTGTCATCGTTAGTGTTATAATTGTTTTTTGACACTATCCATGTAATAATAAATTTTCAACCAATCATATGAATAATGATAATTAAAATCTTTGTTTTTGTATCATAAAAGTGATTCTAAATTACTGATGGAACAATCCTGTTTCACAATTACGTATATTTTGATAAAATCATCGAATATTCTAGATGCCAGCCACAGGTGATGGATTGCAATATGGCCGCCCTGGAGGCGGGAATGATGGAAAATACTTTCGTCGACTTCAGGAATAGAATACAAATAATCAATAAAATCAAAAATTTTCTAATGAAACAAAATGTCGTCAAAAAACCCAATAATTCCAAGAAGTTTTAAAATTATTAGGTTTTAGTTTTATGCTCCTAACCCAGAAGATTTTAATAAACATGGCTACCCACAAACTCTTAAATTATGACCACCCTAAGTATTATGCATTGATCGTGATCTTTCAGTGATCTATCAAACGATTTGGCCAAACAAATTAATAAGGATTGCAGTTGCAGGGATTCATGAATATATAGGAAACAGACAGTATACATTCCGTGCAGTCGTCTCTGAAGTCTCATCCTGTGTGGGTAACCCTGTATTACAATTATTACATACACAGTCCGTCAGATAATTTGTACATTGAATTGTATTGAAAGACAAAATCGAATCACTTGTCCACTAGTTGCCAAACATCCCCCTCCCCAAGTTGCCAAACATCCCCCTCACCTAGTTGCCAAACATCACCTAACTAGTTTATTTACTATTCCTTGAGTATAGAAGGCGGGGGGCTAACTATGATTGCACAACTTTCAACTCCATCAGAGAGATAAGCGCACAGGTAAATCTTTTTTATCGATCACACAGAAAATATCAAAGTTGTAAGTTAAATTACAACCTATTTTAGATAATATAGAAATATTTGTTACAACCCAGCATTGAAGAATAGAAGTAAAAACCAAGTGAAAGACTTGAGTTTTGGCTTGACCTAGTTTTATCTAATGTACATGTTGTAAAATCTATCATATTTTCATATTAACTGTAGTCTGGGTAGATTTATAAATTAAACTCACAATGGACATGAGATATTTACGTCAAGTTTGAGTTTTCGAAAAATTTGAAAACTTTTCTCATTGCATGAATTCCAAGCAATCAGAAGTCAACCAAAGACTTGGTCTTAAAAGTGCTTGCATTTAAATCAGGTCGGGTTTAACTTTGAAACTCTCAGCTCTGACTATTTTTTTGTTTTAGAACCAGCATTGTATCCTGGATATTTCTGTTTTAGAATCAGCATTGTATCCTGGATATTTCTGTTTTAGAATCTGCATTGTATCCTGGATATTTCTGTTTTAAATCAGCATTGTATCCTGGATATTTCTGTTTTAAATCAGCATTGTATCCTGGATATTTCTGTGTTAGAATCTGCATTGTATCCTGGATATTTCTGTTTTAGAATCAGCATTGTATCCTGGATATTTCTGTTTTAGAACCAGCATTGTATCCTGGATATTTCTGTGTTAGAATCTGCATTGTATCCTGGATATTTCTGTGTTAGAATCTGCATTGTATCCTGGATATTTCTGTGTTAGAATCAGCATTGTATCCTGGATATTTCTGTGTTAGAATCTGCATTGTATCCTGAATATTTCTGTTTTAAATCATCATCGTATCCTGGATATTTCTGTTTTAGAATTAGCATTGTATCCTGGATATTTCTGTGTTAGAATCTGCATTGTATCCTGGATATTTCTGTGTTAGAATCTGCATTGTATCCTGGATATTTCTGTTTTAAATCAGCATTGTATCCTGGATAGGATATTTCTGTTTTAGAATCAGCATTTTATCCTGGATATTTCTGTTTTAGAATCAGCATTGTATCCTGGATATTTCTGTTTTAGAATCAGCATTGTATCCTGGATATCCATCTTGGGTCGGTGGAGAGACTTCATCATAATCAGATATTCCCTATTGTCCTTCTCATCAAGTTTAAGAGTGTTAAACAAATTAAAGAGGTAATATCTTTAAACTAATTACTATAGTGTGATGAGTGTGATACTAATTTTAAAGAAATAATGAAATAATGCCGCGCACACAATCTGGTCTAGCTCCCAACAAGTATTGGCGGTATATTCAAACAAACCGTAGTGTTTAGTGCCATGTTTATCTGGACACCCTGTAAATTCTTTTTGATATTCTAGGTGAAGGATCCTCGCTACAACTCTGAGAAGATGACCCAGAAAGATGCAAAAAATAAGTTTGAGCTGAGCGCTAAGCTAGAACAGGAATATAGACATGTTATATCAGATGTTATTCAGGTTTATTTATTATTTACCAGAACCAAGATGGCGGTCTGAGCTCTCCAAGATGGGAGGGTTTTCAGATCCTTTCCTTATCTTCTCTTAACTTGCATTTACAGATAAATTTTAGAATGAATATTGGGTTTCAGAAGCGCTATCAGGAGAAAAGGGGGGGGCGATCTCCTTTGTTATAATGAGGTGTATAGTCAATCCCCTTTCAGTATTTTACAAGGGAAAAAAACAGACCAAAATGGTGAAAATTACCTAATATTCCCCGCCCCCACACACACATATTAATACTGTTAAAACAATCTTTTGAAATAAACATTTTAACTTTGACAACGAATTTTACTTCAAATATTTTGAAATTGTACATTGTAATACAATTCAAATAAAACAAAACGTTTTTTTTTAAATCACACTAAAACTGTTTTAATTTTTAATAACGATTTTTTAATGTTTAGGCGAGTGCTAACTTTATGCTGATGTGCACACAAATTGCGACAAAAATACAGCAGGAACAAAACAAACCCATTTGGGTCCCTACAGGAACCATTTGGTGAACAAGAAACCATTTGGTGAACAAGAATCCATTTGGTGAACAAGAGACTGTTCGGTTAACAAGAAACCATTTGGTGAATATGAAACCATTTGGTGAACAAAGAACCATTTGGTGAACAAGGAACCATTTGGTGAACAAGGAACCATTTTGTGAACAGGAAACCATTTGGCGAACAAGGAATCTTTTGGTGAACAAGAAACCATTTGGTGAACAATGAATCAAGTAGTGAATATGGTATCAATTGTTAAACATAGAACCATTTAGGGAACAAGGAACCATTGGGTGAACATGGAACCATTTGGTGAACAATAAACCATTTGGTGAACAAGAAACCATTAGGCGAACAAGGAACCATTTGGTGAACATGGAACCGTTTGTTTAACAAGGAACCATTTGGTGAACAGGAACCATTTGGTTAACATGGAATCATTTGGTAAACATTGAACCATTTGGTAAACAAGAAACCATTTGGTGCACAGGAACCTTTTGGTGAGCAAGAAAGTAGAAACCATTTGGCGGACAAGGAACTATTTGGTTAACATGGAATCATTTGGTGAACAAGAAGCCATTTGATAAACAAGAAACAATTTGGTAAACAAGGAACATATTGGTGAATAATGAACCAAGGACAAGGACAAGGAACCATTTACTGAACAAGAAACCAATTTGTGAACATGGAATCAATTAGGTAAACATAGAACCATTTGGTGAACAAGGAAACATGGAACCATATAGGAACAATTTGGTGAACATGGAATCATTTGCTGAACATTGAACCATTTTGTGAACAGGGTTCCATTTGGTGAACTTGGAACCATTTGGTGAACTTAGAACCATTCGGTGAACTTGGAACCATTGGGTAAACTTGGAACCATTTGGTAAACAAGAAACCATTTGGTGAACATGGAACCATCTGGTTAACATGGAACCATTTGGTGAACAAGGAACCATTTGGTGAACATGGAACCATATTGTGAACATCGAACCATTTGGTGAACATGGAAACATTTGGTATACAAGGAACCAATTGGTGAACAAGGAACCATTTTGTAAACATGGAACCATTTGATGGTTAATCTTTTATTTATTTATTAAAACTGTGAACTATTTATTGTTGATCATGATTTTCGATGACTATTCCAAAAAAGGCAGCTCTTAAACTTGATTCATTATTCATCCAATTTTATGATTTTGTCATCCAACTATGCATACATGTATATTGTATATTGTATAATATATACAAGAAAGATACACTAAGAACCCTCCATAAGAATTATAATATAGTTTCTCCTGGAGAAATATTAGCCAGACCTCATCTGATTGACATTGGGTTTGTTTATACTCGTCCCAGGAATTGCAGTACACACTATATGTAAACAAACAAATGAAGGTTTTTTATGTACTTTCTTGTTGTTGGATAAACCTCTGACCACTACTGAACGATTTTAAAATGGAAACAAAAACTAATATTTTCCTGGATATTTGACTTAAAGTATAAAACAATAAGTAAACTGTACAAATTCTGCATTATATCTTGTACAAACTTACGCAAAATACTTCACCTGTTAATAACTATATAATATAAAGCGTATTAATCAAAATTGTATAATCCTTTAGCTTAACTAAGAAGTTGGTTGTTTATAAATTTATTTTTATGCTAAAAAAATTAACTTGTATAGATCCTTAAAAAAGATTGAATTTTCACTTTGTTAAAAGTTAAGGTATCGGGATCAAGCCCTTTAAAGGGCCCGCATATAGTTTTAGAGAGATATAACTCTTCTCGTTATTTAGCAACCATTTACTCGTTTTTTTAACAACTGAAATTTAAACTTTTTCTTAATATTTTCAGTGCTTCCATTTTACGTTGAAAACATTGTAAACATTTATTTTTAAGAGTTAACAACGTGACAGTTGTAATTTTGTAAATTTCTAGTTGTTTAGAAGTAAAATTATATTTCTTGTTGGGTTCCTGTTAATAACTTCAATAAAAATGAGAAGAAAATCTATTTTTTTATTGTTATTGTGCCACGGAAAGGGACTGTTTGTTATTTCATGAGTGTTCCGTTTTGACAGGGGAAATGTCCGATTCACTACGTCGTCATTTAAACCTTAATCTGAGAAAAGAAGAAATCGTTGTTATTTCCATATTTAAATTCAATGAATCTGTCATTTTTATTTTCTTTGAATACCCTGTCTACAGAAAAATCAAAATTGAAAATTGAATCTTTTTCAAATAGAGATTTTAAAATCTTGCACAGTGGTAAAGATCATTTCTAACCTTACTTTGTAGAATTAAAGGGACTTCTAAGGTAGAATTAAGCCTAAACATTTTAGGGGTTGACGAATATTAGTTCTATCTGATGTCCCTGTCTTGAGAAATGGATAAAAAAAATGTGTGAAAGTTATTTTAAAAACTCGAAAAGACGAAATATGGCCAACTGATACAGACGGAGCCACATGACCAGATACTGCACTGCTATTGGTAGAAATTCTGGTCATGTTATACAGATGAAACGATTATATTATAAATTATATCTATAAAAAAGGAATAAGTATTATATTCAAATTATGATAGAAGGGTACCTAAAAATTTTAGACATCTCTGGGTAATCATTATTTTAAGATTTGTTCTGTATTTGCTGAATATTATCTATTTAAAACTTTTATCCACATACCATATCCCATATGTATGAGTTTTGGTATATCTTTGACTCAGTTTTATATCAGTTTTTAATATCATTTCAAACCTTACTCCTAAGGTAAGATCCTTGCAACCCTTAGGTCGGAATCAAGATCATCTCAACCCTTATTTCGTTATGAACATTAAATTAAACCTCACTTCGGAGTGATAGAATCAATTAACTAAAACCATTGGCAAGAATACAAATCAAATCAATCCATATTAAAACTCTACAGTAAGATTATTTTAAACCTTAGCTTACTTCGGAATAATAATATCATTTAAACCCTTATTCTGGAGTAAAGATCATTTTAAACCTTACTCCGGAGTAAAAATCATTTTAAACTTTACTCCGGAGTGAAGATCATTTCAAACCTTACTCTGGAGTAAAGATCATTTTAAACCTTAAACTGGAGTATTAAGATCACTTTAACCCTTTATTTCGTACTAATAAGATCATTTCAATTCCATTCCGGAGTAAAGATTATTTCAACCCTTACTCCGAAGTTAAGATCATTTTAAATCTCTCTCGAGAGTAAAGATTATTTCAAACCCTATTCCGGAGTATTAAGATCATATCAACTCTTACTTCGTAATAATAAGATCATTTCAAATCTTACTCCGGAGTAAAAAACATCATTTCAACTCTTACTTCGTAATAATAAGATCATTTCAAATTTCAATCCTTGTAAAGATCAAATACATCATAAAACAGGTGTTTGCAATACCCGTGCAAAAATCATCGCAAAATGTTGAAAAACTGATTGGAACTACTACAATAACAGATAACTTTCTATTGGTGGAATGAATAAAAGAACTGTTAGCTGACAATGCATACTTTGTTGCAAAATTTGTCCTAAATACGGGCAATTTCACATATTGTTCTCCTGGATTTCTTTCTAAAAAGCTACTTTTCATCAAAATTGGACAATTTACAGTGATATTAATAGCAAATTAGGTAAAAAATTCAGCGTATGACAATCGATGACCCAACAAATTGTTTCCAAGATCAAAGACAGAGGTACGCACCGAATCTAAAAAAATGTACTAATTCTGTTAAGGCCTTCGTTGTTATTTTCATCTTAAATCTTTAAATCATCAAGTCCAATAACTCTCAAATTCTACGTTGCTATCGCTATCGATGTTCAGAAAATATGAGCTAATTTAGTTTACTGAACGAGGGGAGGAAGGCCATCCACAACAATTTCTAGTGTGAGCCACATGCTCCTCATTTTCTCGTCCGAGCCACCTCGAAATCCTCGCCCTTCGAATATTATCTTTTTCAATTCTCTAAGATAGAACAATTTTCTAAAAATCGGGTCACGTTAGAGCATAAACGAAATATTAAAGTCTTGTAAATCGAAAATACTTTCAATAGAATTAAAATTTTTGAGTACATTGTCCTGAAAAATATTTACCTTATTACGCGTATTTTCAGATGGTACCATGTGGAAAATTATAGGCAGAGGTTTGCTTAATATATTGCCATTTATTTTGTATCACGAAGGTTAGCCATTAGTACGGAGGCAGAAGAGATTTAAGTTTCATCTAAATGAAGTCTGACATCATTCTCACGGCTTTGGAGATTTCAACATGATGTAATTATTGCATAACTTTAGTCTATCCATATGTTATGCCCTAACGTGGCCTGATATTTAAAAGATATCTTAATCTTCAAGAATTAGAAACTTAAAAACACATAATTATCGAAGGACGAGGATTTCGAGGTGGCTCGGACGAGAAAAAGAGGAGAATGTTGCACAGATGAGAAATTGTTATGGCTGGCCTTCCTCCTCCCCTCACTGAACTCTCTGTTATACAGTGAAACCCATACCGAATACATCGGAAGAATTTATCAAATATCAATTTTATAATTTACAATTTTCAATGAGTTTTATACTACAGGGTGTCCCACGAAACATGACAATAGCAAGACGACTTGAAAGTCAAAGTCGTCTTCGATATATGAATTTATTTGTGACATTTAGTCTTCTATCTACTTTAAAATGTATGATTCTTGAAACAATTATCACAATTCTCCTAGCCCTGGCATTTCCAAAAAGTTGTCTGCGTTTTTTGTGCTTTCAATATTATCGGAGATATAAAGAGTTTGGTACAGATTTCAATTTTGTTAAATAAAAGCAAAATTGTCGAAATCTGAACGAAATTCTTTATATGTCGGGCAATATTGAAAGCACAAAAAAGGCAGACCACATTTTGGATATGGCAGGACTAGGGGAATTTTGTGATTATTATCTCTAGAAATTTACTTCTAAAATTAGGTTGACAAATAAACACAGCAAATTACATCAAAAATCAAGACGACATTCAAGTCGTCTTGCATACTGTCATGTTTCGTGGGACACCCTGTATATTACGTAAATTTCAGTATTTGCGAAAATAAATAAATAGCCATAAATATGCGGGAACAGTTTTAAAGAGCTCCATATAATCATTAATTAAAAAAACTAAATATCTGCAACATTCCATTATCAATAAGTGAAGAATACGACATTTAATGAATTTTTTCGATGTATTCGTTATTAAGGGTTTCACTGTATAAAAAAAGAGATTATCAAAAATAATCTAAAAAACTTCGAGAAAAGTTCAGCTCTGAAATAAATATTTACCGTTTCAGGGTTATTTATTGAACGGAATAAAATTAACATATTATAGTATTAAGGATTTAGCAAAAGTGGAATACAATTCGTGGTATAAGGAATTACAGAAGGCTGAGGGGATAAGCTTAGGGGGTTTAAGGAATATGGGAGCATATAAGGAGAAAAGGAAGAGGATTCAAGAAATCAAGCTGAATTTCAAGCGATGAAAGGCAGTTTAGAGAAAAGGACAATGGAGGAATTTAAGATTCGGAGGCACATAACAAATGGCACAATTACCACCGATATAACATGGCAATATCGCCGTATGGCCGACGATTCAAGACATCAGAATGATGCGAGAATCGCCGACAACTTACATTTTTCCATTTAGACAATAAAAATTTAGTAAATTGAAGCCATTTTACGCTAGGTTGGAGAAGAGTGAAAAAACTTCAATTTTTTAATGACAACACGGGGAAAAGGGGGGGGGATACCGGAGTACGAGACTAGAAGAAGAAAATTGAACAAACTAGAATAAATCCCCGAACAGAAAATATAAAATCCAGTAATCAAGAACACAGGGATTCGAACAAGATTTTTTAAAATATCATCTTGCGAGGATAATTTTGTAAAATGAGGCAGCGTTGTAATCCGAATCCATTTTAGAGGCAAAAAGCGGCGAAATTTTTAAAAATACAAATCTGAGATCTTTCAACTTGAAAAAATTCCGTAATTTTCACCCTCTCTGATAATAAATAGATACATATGATCAATAAATAATAAATTAAATATTAAAAACAAAGATATATAATAATAATGAATAAACTATCACATTGGTTTTCAACTGGTTCATGAATTAATTATTATAAAGTATGAATAATTAACTTGAAAACTGAGGATTATATTAATAGGCCATGTGATTTTTTAGTGCACAACAATAAAATAACGTTTACAATATTTAGCAGGCTAGCGTTTTAACTCACCTTAACTTTGTGGCTTGAAAAAGCGCATCGCAGAACTTTCCACAATGCTAAGCGCCGGCGCTTTTTTAAACCACACTTAAGCGCAGTTATAATTGAACTTGTCAAAGAAGCCAACAAGGGAGAGTTGAGGATAGTTAAATATTTCATAGGAATGAACAATTACACAACTTGTACCTACAAGAACATTGATTGGCATGCATACTTTCAAGGGAATTGATTTTTGGTGGCATGAGAAGATAAGAAAGGGGTCTATTAAGTACTTTTAGACTTGATTTTCTTTTTGTCTTTTTTTGGTAGTCACACAAGTCCTTTGTTAATACTCAAAGTGAGCAAATAAAATATGTTGAGCTTAGAAAACAAACCGCGCACATACATTCCATCACACTTAATTAAACAACCAGAAATATTGAAACAACTATTTATAAAGATTTAATAATGTGAACACACCTAGCTTGATAATCAATTAATTAATCATTAAAAGGCGCAACACATTGGCGGCATAAACCGGCAGGAAGTGAAGTGCGGGTATTTTTGTACTGAAAAACAACTTGAGTAAGAAAAGTGAAAAAGTGCTTCTGGTGTCACTTTGAACCCTCACTTCTACTTTAAAGCTGGTTTAACTTCCCCTAGCGTTAAGTTAGGTCCAGATTTTGGCGCCAAAATGTTGCAAAAGTTGTCGAAGGGCCGGTGACAAGGGGAGAGTAAGCGAACAAGGAAAATCTAACATTTCTAAAGTTTTTTTTCTTCACAACCAGTAAAATTTAAAATCACACGAGACTTGTACGATTCCAATTATGCATTAACCATATTATGACACCAACAAATTTTCTTTTTCGTGACTCAACCTCCCCTTCCTTACCCTTGGATATAAGAATTAGAATAAGAAAACATCAAAACATAGAAATAAAATGTTCTGAAACAGGATTGCTTGGCTAGGAATGAACAATGGGAGAAAGATCGCCACGTGAAAAGCGTCTTTGATAAAATTGTCACTGTTTATCAAGGTTTATCAAGGTGTGTGCGGGTTTGCACAATGTTGCGAATTCTATTTGGCAGATTTCGCGATGTCAAATCGCGCAATTTTACAATGTAGAACAATTAGCAGCGACGAGTGAACTAGGAACACCTGAAATAAAAATAAATAAAAATTATTTCGGCCAAAAAAAGTTATAAACTCCAACGAGAAAAAGGTTTAAAATACAAAAACAATAATAATATACTTCAAAATAATCGTGGGATGGGTGAGGAGAGAGAATTAAGGCTGACGCCCAATCATTATCAGAAGTGGCGTTTTGGTGGAGGGGTCGGGTAATAAGAAAATAAAAATATATATTTACCTGATTCCTCAGGATGAATGATTGACTGGCGCTTCAGCTGCTGGGGTAGTGGCTTCACTTCGTTCTTTTCTGGGAGGCATCCTTTCATTCTGTAGATCCAATTCTACAAATATATATAAATATATCCTTTCATTCTCTAGATCCAATTCTACAAATATATTTAAATATAACCTTTCATTCTGTAGATCCAATTCTACAAATATATATATAAATATATCCTTTCATTCTGTAGATCCAGTTCTACAAATATATATAAATATATCCTTTCATTCTGTAGATCCAATTCTACAAATATATATAAATATATCCTTTCAAATTCTGTAGATCCAATTCTACAAATATACACAAATATATCCTCTCATTCTGTAGATCCAATTCTAGAAATATATATAAATATATATATCCTTTCATTCTGTAGATCCAATTCTACAAATATACACAAATATATCCTCTCATTCTGTAGATCCAATTTTAGAAATATATATAAATATCTATCCTTTTATTCTGTAGATCCAATTCTACAAATATACACAAATATATCCTCTCATTCTGTAGATCCAATTCTACAAATATATATATATATATTCTCTCATTCAGTAGTGAAATTCTATAAATAAATATATATATCCTTTCATTCTGTAGATCCAATTCTACAAAACATAAGTTAACTGTAGAATGTAAACCTATTAATATTCCAAAAAAGAACATTTCAGCTTCAGGTTAAAGATCAATCTTAACCCTAGGCAAGGTCCAAATGCTCTTTTATGTCCAATTGGTTAAACCAAAATGTTTGTTCTGAGACGACTGTAAGGAATTTTAGCTGTCTCGATTCCTTCCTTCTAATAATTGAATAAAACTAGGTTTCAGCCAGAAGACTTAATTTAACCTTGGAAACACGTTCTTTTTCGAGTTTACAGTCTCCTGTAGACGATTAACACAAATAAAGTCAGTTAGGAAAATCAAGTTAGTTTTGAAATCAAGTCAGTATGAAAAAGTTCTGAGTGATACAGTATCAAATAATCATATATGCAGTAAAATCTCGCTGTATTTAGCATACATTAGCCCTCTTCACTAAAACCTTGTAAGGTATCAAATAAATATTTTTATATCACCTCTGGCTTCTTCGAATGATGTGATTTTATGGTTAGGCGAGAACCCTTGAAGCGCGTTACAAAGGCTGGCCTTGCCGCCACTCAGAGCTCCCAGCGGCAATGCGCCGGTAGGGGTCAAACCCTTCAGTTGAAGTACACTCTCACTTTCCTCTCTGAAATAATTGAAATTAGCAATATGAGAAAAAATAGTAAATTTTATATAACTACTTTACAGGGAAGTTAAAGGAATTTTACTTTACCAACGGTCCCAGAGAACAATTTAGTAAAAGAGGTAAAGTAAAATTTTTGATTTTCCCAAAAGAGTATTTGAATTAAAGGAATTGATCACAATTTTATGCCAACTTTTTACGAAAACTTCGCAGAGCGGGTGGTTATTTTACTTAATTGTCCCATAGGACGTCAAGTAAAGTAGCTTCCCTCTGTTGGGGAGTCATGGGTCGGTAATGTTGGTCCAAAAGACTGAAAAGTTTTTTGAAGTTCGTGGACCCCTAGACTTTCTTTAAGAATCGTTTAAAAAGTGCCTAGGAATTAAATCCCAAAATATGGGAATAAACGTATCCTTATCAAAGAGGTATAAATAAACAAATTCGCAAAAAAATATTCTCTACACCCCTGAGAGGGAAAAGTAAAACTCCCCCTGATTAATAACACAACAAACCTTAGTACAGAGAAAACTCTGGCCATCTTTCCGATTGCCCGAATCTTGTTCCGAATAACTTCCTTCCGCTGCTGGGCTTGTCCTAAAAAAAATCCGTAAAAAATCCACCAGTTTAATAAACATCCATGGGAGACCAAGGTTGGTAGAGATATGGTGAGAAAACTGATGGTTGCGCACGGATTGTTGCAAGCACCCAATGCGACATTGCCTTGTGACGTCACTGGGTTTAACACAAGTTTGCACAATAACCAACTTTATCACCTTATCACCTTGGTTGCGGCAGAAACACAGCTAGGTCTAGATTTATATTGCATCACGATCTAGTCTAGTTAGAAGAATAAAAGATTTCTGTTTACATTTTGCAGTACACTACCACGAATATCCCGGTAACTCCTATAGCTTTGTTTACAATTGAAATGTACTGCAGTTTTTAGGAGGAATGTAAACAAGGTTCGTCCTAAACAGAATCAAGTTTGTTAACAATATCCCTGAACCTGCAGTACAAAGTATATGTAAACAAATCTATTAAAGTTCCTGACTCCTCCTAGTTTAAGCCCTGATCTCACGTTAATAAGCAAAAAAGCCGATGATCACTAAATACTTATCCATGCTGAAAAGCCGGAGTCGTAGCAGTTGAAAACACTAACACAAAATCTCCTTGTCAAAATAGGAATTCAATATTTAGATTTGTATATATGTAAATACTTCTTCAAAATGCCAGCATGCGCTACCGTAATTCAGTTCAATTCTGATCACATGAAAGTTATCGATTTTTAGATTTTTAAATTTCTAAGTAGAGGTTTTAATAAATAAAAGAATAATTCATTACATATCAAATATTCTTTGCTCAAGTGGAAGGTCTTTAATAGGAATAGATACTCGTCACCGTTGACAATCTCTTAGTTATGCAGGTTGTAGGAACCAAAATTTTAAAGAAAACGAAGATTAGGATATTTTAAATCTAATATTTAATAATGAAATTTAAGCCCTTAGATTGAGAGAAATTCTTATCATATTTGATGATATTACTCGAATTTTTCATTTTTAATTTAAAAAATACGATGATAAAAGGAAACGTTTCAAATCAAGCTTCAAAATTTGTTTGTCTTGAGATTAATTCAATTTCTTTCTAATTATTAAATTCAGAGACGCCGAAAATTTGCTGTCTGTCAATTTCTCATCTTACAATAAAGGGACTGCTGGATTCCAAAAAGCAAAAATGAAATATTATTTTAGGAAAATGTGTCTCCCAACATTTTGATGAATGAAACCAATTTTTGAAGGAATAAAGTATGGAAATTATGAATTTTTCTCCTTCCCTCATAATCAACAATCCTTAGTTCTACAGAGTGAACAATCTCTTAAAGTTAAGATAAGAAACTAAATAAATATTTACCAGTTCTTCCTAGTTGAAAATAACGAAGAAAAACGCATTCCAAAACTATCTAATATGTTTAATGTAAGAATAAAAGATTAGTGTTTTTTACAAATAATCAAGAGAAGCATTAACACTAAATGAAATGTCATCCATTTTATCTGAACAGCTGAAACGCGTTTTATTTTTGTTTTCAACAATTTATTTTCATAGTTAAATACTGAAAACCATGTTAAATCGAAGTTTGGCACTTTCCCAAAGGCAACCCTAGAACTTTTCCCCAGCAAAACCTCCAAAATTATATTTTCCAATCAGGAATTGCGTCTTAATTCTCACGCCCAAACCATTCCTAGCCGCAACGCCACAGCTGAAAACTTTAGAATTGGATACCCTTGATATCGATCGCTTAATCTGAATATCCACGATAGACACTTGATTTCTGCTTAATCCACTCTTTTTAACTATTTTGGAATATCCCTACTGGATTCCGACCAATGAGTTTTCATTAAATGGCGCGTCAAATTTCCCGGCTTCTTATTGGCTGTTCAGGATTCTGCATACAACACTCTGATTGGTCGAATTTTAAAGTTTGGTTGAGTTTTAAAACCTTTCCGGGATACAAGCTAAAAATCAAAATGATCTTAAGAATTCGGAGCTCAACGCATTGATCAATTTCCATAACTCCAAAGCTTTCAGATCAGACCATATATCTGCCCAGAGACTATCCTATCCTAAACCGAAGTTTGGGTTAATATTTGGGAGCCCCTAGGAAAGTACCTTTTACCATTAAATCTACACACGCAGTTGGTAGCTACCCAACCCCTTACCCATTACCGAACCAATGGGTTCACTTCTCGGCTGATCTAGAGAATTCTTGGCCGCCGATTTATCAAGAATATCCTTGGTGGATCCTGTGCTTCGAGATATGGCATCACACACTGAAGGGACAGGATGGTTAGCAAAAGCAAATAATCCAAAGTCCAAAATTTTTTCTTACAAGTGAAGTCTTGCTTGTCAAAGGGGTGTATACTGTTGCATATTTTTCAAAGAAGCTGAATTAACTGAAAATAATGATTTTAGTAAAAATGTCAATCTATTAATATCATTGTAAAAGGTATTATTAATAACGATTAGAAGTGATAAGTTCCCTAAAAATTGAATAAAAACTTGAATCAAAATAACGCAAAAAGATACACCAGTCTGTGTTTATGGTTAATAACTTTCTACGGACATTGAAAAAGTATCAACAAGGAATAGGCACGCTTAAACAATATTTATTGGACAAACCAATTATATCAATTTACTCAGTGATATTATTGAAATTTTGAAAAGATTTGTGTTTCTTGTGTTTTTTTCAAGGACATCATCTTAGATGTATTTTCCTCTTTAAATCTTTAGTTTTATTCAGTGACTAAAATAATGTCCTGAACTTACAGAAAATACTAAGTTTGAAAGAGGCAAAAAATGTATCAAGAAAAAGTATACCCCTACCTTCTCATGATTTAAAGGAATAGAATTACTGAGTGTCCTTTGATTGTGTCAAAATACTGAAAGATTTTGTTAATTGCTTTACTTTATCCTTCAAAATAAACCTTTCTTTTCAACAGGGTAGAAGGTTGTAGATTTTTCAAGATAGCTAAACAGGACTGTCGACTTTAGGGTAACCCTCAATTTTTAAGTGGTATATCAAATTCACAACGGTACCCACACAACATTGGTATGTTCTAGTAGTTCAAAATTAATCATTTTCAATTGTGGGTTCTTTTAAGTGACTTAAGGATTTACGCAGCTGAGACAATAACGGAAAATGAAAAAAAATTTTAAAACCGACACCTGATCCTCATAGTTACACAGTTAAAGGTTCTAAATCGGACATACTTCAGAAATGGAGGGTCGTTAAAAAATCTTCACTCTTCAATCCCTTTAACTTTAGCAAGCCCTAAATTGTGTTAAATAAACCGGATGTTAACAACATAGTATTGAGATACTATGATCAGGCAGAATTTGTGTCAAGTCAAAAGATGAAAAATTTTGGACTAAGGTGTACTCTCGGCAAACCAATACAAGCGCCTACCTTTAGTTATATATTTGCCTTGCGCTGGTGCAAAACGTGCAGAACCACAGAGAAGGAAGAATGAAAAATAAAAAGAATTAATGGTGAGAAAACAAAAACTTTAGAACCAGAATGGATGAGCATGAAAAAAAAACAGCCAAAAGCACCATAACCATTAACCAAGCCTATTTAAATGGAATCTTTAAGTGCTTCCGACTTAATCATAGTGCAGTGCGTATTGTAAAAGTAGTTATTTATATTTGTATATTTCTGGCATTTTCAGAAGACAATAAACATAATCGTAACATTTATCATACAATCCCACACTGACAAACCATGCAATATTTATTCACAAGATGTATATAAAGTTAAATTTTGGTTAAAATTTTAATTTCTCGATGTCAACACATAAACTTATTTTAATCCAATTTAACATACAAATAAAATTACGTTGACACCTGACAGTCTCATTGACAGAACCGTAAGAATAAAAGTATGTTTATCTATTTAATGCTAAACTTAAAACAAACCCCAAAAAATTATGACAAACCATAAAAACCTCAGTGTTCGCATTAGTTTTGTGATTTACATGCATTTATTTGGAAAGTTATAATTAAACGCAATAAGGCAAAAATAAAATATGATACAGACGAACACTTATCTATCAGAATTCAAGAAATAAGTATTAAAGAGAAAAAAATCCAAAGAAGGGATTTATACAAATGCTTTGAGATAATACCTTTATTCAGACGAAATCACGATAATGTCATAATAAAAGTTCAAAATTAAACTGGAAAAATCAAAACCCCGGAAACATTAGTTTTGATAATTATTTACGTAAGTTTCAAATTGAAACTACAAAATACTAATATTAATGAAACCTATTTTTTTCTCTTGTTAAAAAATTTAAATTCTATTTGCTAAACGTTAATTTTATCATTTAACAGAACTATTACAAAAATAACATAAAAAGGCCCTTACACAAAAAAAAATTCCATTCCTTTAGGTACCAATTCTTAAAAAGACACTTCACGATTTGACTACACAAACGATCAAATTTAGTATATGTTGTAGGATGAAATAAATATTTCTTCTATATATGTGTCTGTTTGTTTGTATTCAATTAACGTCAAAACGGCTGAACCGATCGGGCCCAGGTAAGGTTTAGGAATGCTCAAAATTTTAAAAATTTTGAAAATGCGCGAAAAAATGTTATGTTTTATAAAACAGTGTTTCCATTATTACAAAAAAAGGTTAACCCATATCTAACTTGTAATTACTTTACAGAGATTGTCAGTGAACTTTCAGAAAAGAGAATGTATAAAATAGGGGTCCATCCTTAATCATCTAATATTCCTTCTAACAAGCAAGGCAGACACATCGGAAAATACTCTTCAGTCAACATATTTGTAAACAAAAAAGTGTGAATAAAGTTAAGACTCGGCCGCAATGCTTCAGTTACCCCCCAGAACTTCAGAGACATCGAGAGAATAAATTAAATGTCGTTTTCTTAACCCAGCTAGTGATTATGGAATGCTTAAGATAAGTTTTTAATTAAATATTTTTTTTGTAGTAGACACTAAAAATCATTCATCATCGGTCTGAAGACGGGCGTATACATCCTAATTATAATTTGAATACAAAAGAATCAGGCAGACAATTCTAAAAAGCACGTTGAATATAGTACCTTAAATGATCAGGGCTAGTTAACTATTTTTACAATTAGAGATTTAGGTATAAAACTAACCCATGGAAAAACTGTCAAGACAACGTTTTAAAAATTCTTTCGATGTCTACAAAGTTCTGGGTTAAACTGAACAAAAAATTGTAGTCTTGTTTTGTTTCATTGGTCCCTAATAATTTTAGGAGATAAAAAATCAAGATCCGTAGAGGTTATCTCCAAATATTGAAGAAAAGTCCCACTTAATAATTCAAGAAATACCAGGGAATAAGAATGAAGGGAAGGGACATGGCGCTCTGGTCTGGCATGAGAAAGCCAGTCGCACTGCATTGCAGACGAGTTCGTTATTACACACGTACACTCTTTTGGTACAGACACACACAACATGATTACAGTCAAGGAAATTGCAGAACAATGTCGTCAATAATAACTAAGCTTGAATAAACAGTAGTTTATTGTACACTTTTATCAAATTATATTCTTTGCATAAAAATTTGGCTTAAGGTGTTGACTTAAATATATATATGATATATTACATGTATATTAAACTTATTTTTAAGTAAACAATTAACAATAAACAAATGTACTCTCTTAAGACTGTACAAACACCGAGATTCTTATGTATTGTATACACCTACAGTACCACTATTCAGTTCCTTATTACACACACACTCTTTTGGTACAGAAAAACAAACATGACGTTTACGCCCCCTGAGTAATACCAATTATCTATCGTACATCCATGGGTAAAATTCCCAAAATCTCCATTTGCTGATACTACAAAGTTGACGAAATCTTCCTATAAGGGATAAAAAGATACTGCAAAAATCATTATATCTTCAATGGCGCAAGTAGATACTGTGAAGTTCGTGATCTCTTCCAGGCTTCCATAGAAGAATAGTCTAATGCAAAGTTGAAGAAATAATAAGGTTCATGATTTCTTCTATTACGGAATAAGGGGACGCTTTAAAGTTCATTAAATTTTCCTTAAAGGGATAAGAAAAACTTTCAAGTTCATGAAATCTTCCTGAGAGGTTTTAACTCGAAAAAAAAATAAAAATCCCAACTCCTACCTTCGGTTTCATTTTGATCTTCCGAATCACTCATTAGTTCATCATCAGAACAGATGTTTAGAATGTTCACAAGCATCTCAGTAACTAAACAAATAACAAAATAAAATAATAAATACAAAATATTTCACTTAAAACAATCCTCATTAAATGTTAGCACACCTTTGAAGAAATGATGGGCGGGGGAAAATCTAACGCTAATAATATAACTGACCAAAAATATAACTGACCAAAATATAACAGACTAAAAATATAACAGACCAAAAATATAACTGACAAAAATATAACTGACAAAAATATAACAGACCAAAAATATAACAGACCAAAAATATAACCGGCCAAAAATATAACTGACCAAAAATATAACTGACCAAAATATAACTATCCAAAAATATAACTGACCAAAAATATAACTGACAAAAATACAACTGACCAAAAATTTAACTGACAAAAATATAACAGACCAAAAATATAACCGGCCAAAAATATAACTGACCAAAAATATAACTGACAAAAATACAACTGACCAAAAATTTAACTGACAAAAATATAACGACAAAAATTATAACGACAAAAATATAACAGACCTTTTTTTACCAAAAATATAACCATATTCTTAGCTATAAATGCATCTTTTTCTCAACCAAAAAATAACCCTTAGACTAAAAATAAAACAATTTATTGAACAAAAATATAACTTTTTTGAACCCAAAATTATCCGTTTTTTTAGTCGCAAATACAACTTTTTTCGACGTAAAATATAACCATATTTTAGCCTAAAATATAACTTTTCGGACCAATAATACAAACATTTTGATTAAAAATATACCCATTTTAACCAAAAATATAACCATTTTTGATAAAAAAAAAAAAATTAGTTTTTAACCAAAAAATTAACCATTTTTACGAACAAAAACATAACAGACCAAAAAATATAACCATATTCGACCAAAAATAGGTTTTATCTGCCTTGCTAATGTATGCAAAGACTTTACACGTATGCTTTTTGCGTCCTGCGCATAAGTAAGTTCTTTTTTTTACTCTCTTTTAGGTATGCATACCTATGACCACTCTTGTCCACTTGTGCCCACCCCTTTCTAAGAGGAAAGGAATGTGTACATCCTACTCGTGGAGATAGATACTTTACACTGACTCTTCGTAAATGACGAAGTTTCTTATATTAACTAAAACATTTTTTGAAAGAGCATTTTATGGATTTTATTTAATAAAATTCAGGGCAATTACGCATTAATAAAAATTGATTCTCATCATTGAAAAAGTGCTTAATGGTTAAGTTTTAAGCTAAAATGTTAATATTGGTTAGAAAATGGTTATATTTATGGTTATTGAATGGTTTGGGTTAAAAAATGGTTAAAAATAGTTATATTTGTTGGCTTTATTTTTGGTGGTTATAATTTAAGTAGTTATATTTTTTGTCAACATGGTTATATTTTTGGTGGTATATTTTTAGTGTTATAAATATTTTTGGTGTTATTAGAGTTATATTTTACCCGCACATCGAAGAAATTATAAGTTTGTGGGGGAAAAAACTGAAGAAAAATTTTAAGGTGTGATTTAAAAAAATAGAAATATATGCATGTATACATTATCATGGTTATCATGTCATGGTTCTACTCATCTATTTATATAGTAGTAATCTCTGGTTGTCTGTCAGATCATAACTCATCAACTCCTTGACCAAGTTGCCTCAAATTTGAAAAAACTCAGTGTGACTACATGAATCTTCTTTTGGTTTAACAGTTCTATGCTGAGTGGGTTGGCTTTTATAGAGCAAGTTTAAATTTCCAGACAAAGCTGGGTCTCCAACCTCGTTAAAACAATAATTTTTATGTTGATTCGGTTTTCTTTTACGCATAAAGCTTTACATAAAATATTGCAGGAACTTTTACCAGGAAATTGAAATTAAATATTCATTAATGAATGAGTAATTACTTTCATTTGCCAAGTATTGTTTCTGTGCAAAATTATTTAGTTTTAAAATTAATTTAAAAAAAACAATTGTAAAATAAAATAATCTTTCCTTTTTTAGCTTTGAAGTATCTTAGCAAAAAATTGCCCAACTTGCATTTTTAACTGGAATTATTAAATTTCCATTTCTAGAAACATTTGAAAACCGGAAATTATTCTGTTTTCCAAGGTTCGATTGGTTATTTTACTTAACTCCTTGCTGTTTTGATTTCTGAACAGCTGAGCGCAAATATTTACAAATTCTTTAGTTTAGGGCATCAGACAAATTAAGACTTTTATCGATATAATTTCCAACTGGCTTCACCTACTTACCCTGCGTAAAAAGAGTGCCATAACAAATTGACCATAATAAAAGTAAATCTAGCTTATGATAAAAATTTTAAAAAATCAATATAATTTTTTCTCCAAAAATTGAGAATTTAAACAAATTCTTGCACACACACTCTTTTGTAGTTTTGTGAATGGAATACAAGAATCAAATGAAAAATGGGTGAAGATAATAAAACTTTTAAACTAAGAGTATTGCAAACAATCCCTGAAATGAACCAGACAGCAAAAAATACAATTATAGCGAAATGAGTAGTCATAAACATAAAACACTAGCTTGGGAACCCAGCGTTGTCCGGGGTACTCATAGTTACTCCCGCCATTTACCCGCAATATTCCCTGTTAAAGTCTACTCATTCAACTAAAATCTCAAAACCAAGCTGAGAACATTCCTCTGGTTCTCCCGAGTTTCCTACTCAAAATTTGAGGCAAATCGGTCCAAGGGTTCCTGAGTTATGATCGGACAGGCAGAGATTACAACAATAAATATAGACTATCTTAGGAACCCAGCGATGCCCACTGTCCAGTTTACTAAAAGTTACTCCCGCACTTAAGACGATTTTACCGGGAAACTAAATTTTAGCTATTAAAGTCGACACTCAACTTAGAATCTCAAAACCAAGCTAAGAACATTCCCGTGGGTCTCCCGAGTACTCCAACCAAAATTTGAGGCAAATTATTCTTGGGGTTTCTGAGTTAAGATCGGACAAACAAACCGACAGAGATTACAACTTTATTAATTAATTGAGTGAGCAGAGCTGAAAACTTTAGAATGGGATATCCTTAATCCCGATAGGTTAAATAATCTGAAGATTAAAAATGAGTGGAGAACAAGCAATATTTAATCTCGAGATTAAGAAAAAGAGTGGATTAAGCCTTAATCCCGATATCCACCATTCTAAAGTTTTCAGCTCAGGTCTAATAAACCAGAACTAAAGCTATTAAAAGATCCGTAAAATTGGACACAAACAACTAGTAGAGCTATCATCAAATTTCTCTTATAACTACGTAGATAAACTTTCTCAATCAAACACGAATTGCTTTGAAAATTAAAAATGATAAATTTTAATAAAAATATAAATTACAGAAATATAAATATCCTTTAAAATTAATATTTCTGCTTATAAGGGATTATTTCAAAATTCAGCCAAACATTAAAAAATATAATTCTAGAAGAGGAAGACTGGAAATTTAGTATTGAAGCTTGGTTATTATTAAATAACTGAGTCCCATGTACCTTACAAAACGGTGATTTTTGTTTTGTACATTGAACTATTTGACGGAAGTCAAACATTCTTTTTTCTATTCCCCAGTTTTAAGGGTCAAACATAGACGCAAAAATCCCATATTTTACTGCCTGGCCTGGGCAGAAGTCTGGCCAAGTTATTAATTACCTTTCTCGCCAACGAAGGGTAGAGACCAGGTGAATACATCCATAAAGTTAGGGAGCCAGTAGGGGTGAGGACTACAGTTAAACTGGCGAATATTCATCACGTTGTTCTCGTACTTTAACACTGCAGCCTAAATACAAAGAAATAAAAGGGACTGTTAGAGAAATTTTTTTACTACTGTATATTTTTTGAAAGATTTCTTTCCTCATTTATCCCTCAGAATAGAAAAAAATTTGTGGTAAGCACAGAATGTTTTGCAAATTTAGCAGAAATAAATTATTTCTTTCAAGGTTTCGAGTATCACAAAGCTTAGATGAAAATTTCATATTTCATGTTGGGGTAATGTACCATATTACGGCTACCGGGCTTAATGCGGGGTCGGAGCCACAGGATTCACAACAGTAACCCTTTACTTTTCAATTCAGCAACAATAAGTTATTGTCGTTTTTCTAGCTTCAAAAAATCTGAAAATTTTCAGAAATACGGAATTCTACGCAAATAACTTGAAATTGAAAACCACGCTGTAAAATTATCAATTTTTTGGGAAAATTCTCTCTAAATATATATATATATATGCAGTAAGAACTGTAGTTGTAAGTTACCTTATTGTTATAAACGTCTAGGTAGTTGGGTGCTGAGAATATAGTGATAAGACTGGGGAATCCTGTTGTCTGGCTCTTACGATACATTCGATACCTAAAAATTAACCATAACTTATTTTCTTCACCGAAACTGGACTTGAACCGAAACATGAAAATGAACCCAGTAATCAAACCTTAGTCGCAGTCCAGAGAATAGTTACACCAACGAGGTTATAATATATAGAGTGATGATGTACGCTAATTGTACAGACCATGTACTCCACTTTCAAAAATCAATCCGTATATTACAGAACTAGCGGGGTGATTTCTGAAAATATTTTCATTTCAACAGAAAAATGTTTTTAACCAAAAAAAAATCAAACTAATCATAATTTCAACTTTTCCGTTATGTAGAAAGGGATTTTTGGTTCACAATGGTACCCTCAAAGCTCTGTTTGATTACGAAGGCTCGAGATAATTTTCTCTTTGACAGTAGATTATTTTAATCGTGATTTCTCTGGAAACTATTAAACAATGGAGGAAATTATTAGAATTAAACACCTTTCGAGCTAAATATATTTCAATTACACTTTACAAGGAAAACTTGAACACTAATGATTCAAACTATTATTGACTACTGTAGCATTTTTTTTCAAAATGCCGACTGCATATCCGGCTAGGAGAATTTGTTTTTTTATTTGACTATTGCAATCCACTGCTCCTTTATCGTGTGCAGGATTATATTTTCACGGGAAAACTTACTATTGCAGTCATATTTCATAGTTGAACGGTTCTGAGACTGCTGATTAAAATTTAAGATGAAAAACCTTCCCTTACACTTGTACTCCGAAAGCGTACTGCATATTTGATTGTGTACTGTATGAATATACCATAATGTCTTAATATCCTTTATCGTGGCTCAGGTAGTTATCTATCATCCCCCCTGAGTTACACATATAAAGATAGCATATAAATAGCTTAGTATAAACACGGAGTGTTACCCCCCCCCCTTCAGTTCCACTCTATGGCTGGGCTACTCCCCCACCCTCTCATGTAAAAAGTGTAAATTATTGTTTCGACATAAGCCTAATTAAATTGAATGTAAACAAACCGCTAAACCAGTTTTTAGCCACCAAAACCGAGTTCATAGTAAATTCCAGAATAATTGTGTGTAAAGCAAGCCCACCGTTGAATGGGATTAGATCTAATGAATAGCGAGAAATTCTCCTAAGCTAATCTAGAGCACAAAGAAGTGGTTGAACTAAGTCTGTGCGGTTCAACAATTCTCGCTAGAGTGGCTGTTCATTATTGTCTCTGGTTCCGCAAAATTTTTATTTAAGGATAGAGTTATCAAATTTAAACCATTGTTTTTACTTAAGATTAAAAAGAGAACCATGTCTCTTAATCTATTTTGAAAAAGGCATAAACGTGAAATGGATCAAATGGTGTTAAAAAAGAATCAAATCCATCAGGAAATTAAAATAAGGTAATAAATAAAGTTCTTAAAATAGTTTATGAAAGCTTAAAAAAAATTTAATAAAATTATTTCAAAATATTTTTTGAAGTTAAACATGAACCTACCCGGCATCCTGCGCCTCATGAGCCCGAATGATGGACAGCAAATTATTTTGCTGTAGAAAATCACAGCTCGCTAAACAATCAAAATATTAAAAGTTTCATCGATAAAAACCAGCAAATGAATTTAGTATGATATTTGAAATTATATCAAAAGNCACCACACATTGTTCTTATTGACAAAATTTTATTTAAGAATTATATAAATGTTTCAATGAAAATAAAAATAATTTTAGTCGTGCACCCAAGCCCCCCAAATTGTTCTAGAAAAAACTCATGATATTTAAGAAAATGAAGACTGACCTGCATAGCTATAGAAGTACGAACATCCTCTGACTGAATTGTGACTGAAATGCTCCGCGTTCTTCTCGCTTCCAAAATCCTCTAGAGGATCTGACCATAGGAGGTCACACATAGGACCGAAGGCTGGAGGCTCCTTGAATCTGTCCAGCTAAAACAGGTAAATCATACAAAAATCCGCAAAAAGACATTCAAAAATGCGCCAAAATTTTACATATTTATAAGGACTTATGCTAATTAAGGTCCCTGGGACAGTTTAGTAAAAAAACACCAGAGCCGGAATTTTTTCAAATTTACGGTCGTATTTAAGACGTCCTAAATACGTCTCCGTACTCTATAGTGTTTTTCCGTTAAGATGTCTTCCGTTAGTTATTTTCGGACAGTCAGACTTACTCACGTCGTGTTTACTCACATAATTTCGCCGTGAGTTAACCTTATTATAGATGTCAGCACGTGCACACAATACAACTTTATAAACACAGGGATAAATAATAATCACAATTTTAATAATACAATTTAATTCAAATGGTCAAATTTTAATCCGATTTTGATAAAAAACTAAATAAAAAATTTAATAATCTGTAGTTTTATTTTACGAAAGTTATTATAATCCATGAATTCTTGAGAATTTAATATTTTTGAAAGTCATTAATAAAAAGCATCCCTGAAAATGTATTCATGCAGTGTATTGAACAGCTTTCTATTTATTTTCGTCTATAGGGGTCGCGCGATGTTGCAGTTTATGGTCGGACACTAAATGTTGTAGAAAATCCCATTTAGACAGTACTTAATTCCTCCGTATTTAGGACGTTAGTAAGTGGAGACGTCATATGTTTGCAAAAAGTACGGATGAAAAAATTCCGGCTCTGCTCTGTGAAGTTCTTGCGCATCTTAATAGAAGACGATAAAATTGTGTACAAAAGGTAGTACCTTTTCAGGAATTTAAAAATTTTCCTTGACCCGAGTTTCCCTAGACTAATTTTTCCTTGATCTTGGGAACCATTGGTGAAGTAGTTGTAAACAATAATAAAATTGACAAAAACCATAAAATCAAATTCTTTGATAAAACTCCTAATTCCAAAAGAATTCTAAATGTAAGAGCTGTTAACACTTTATATGCGAGTCGTGATTGAAATTGAATTTTCATTGTTTTTGTGAAATATGCATAGAATTAACCAACAAATAAATGGAATTCGTTTAAACTAAATTTTCAAATTTTGCGCCTATTTACTTATAATTTTTGGTTCAAGATATAACGATACTTATACAATCAACAACAGTATTCATAGAGCCTATGTTATTTAGAAGAAATGCCGTTGATATAAATTAATTATAAAATAGTAGTATTTAGTATTTACTGGTAATTTTCCATAGAATTATGTATGTTACGGATATATGATACATACACATTAATTCTGTTCAACAACAACATTTGTTAAGGCTACATCAGAGTTCATAAAAATATGTTATTGAAGGTGTAAAAATGCTTTTTTAACTTTTCGTCTAAAAACAAAACAACAAATCCAATTTCCCGGATTTTCAGAATTCTTGATTGAGGTGAGGAAGGTCAACCACTACAATTTCTCGTCCGAGCCACCTCGAAATCCTCGTCCTTTCAATAATTTTTTTTTTTTAAATGTCTAATCCATCCAGATAAAACTATTTTTAAGAATCAGGCCACGTTAGGGCATAAATGAAATATCAAATTCTTGTAAATCGAAAAAAAAGTTTCAATTCATTTCAAGATTTCAAGCTTAATGTCTTTAAAAATGTTCACCTTTTTAACGCGCATTTTCAGATATTCCTGGTGTAGAATGCCGCAAATAATTCCAAGTTTATAGAACTTCAATCTTTTTTGTTAACTATAGTGAAAACCATAGAATTTTTCAGGGTGGTTCCATGGGGAAAAATATAGGCAGAGGCAAGCCGAATATTTTGCTATTTATTTTATATCACGAAGGTTAGCCATTACGGAGGCAGAAGAAATATAAGTTTTACCTAAATAAAGTTTGACATCATTCTCATGGGTTTGAAGATTCCACCATGATATAATCATTGCAATACTTTAGTCCATCCATATTTTATGCCCTAACGTGGCCAGATTTTTTAAAAATAGTTTTATCTTCAGGAATTTGAAACTTTTTAACACAAAATAATCGAAGGACGAGGATTCCGAGGTGGCTCGGACGAGAAAATGAGGAGAATGTGGCTCGGACGAGAAATTGTTGTGGCTGGCCTTCCTCCCCTCCTTGATTAGGGTGTCAGAAAAACTGCGAACCCCAATGCAAAGGTTGAAGAAGCACACTTACTTTTCTAATATCATCTAAAGTATGAATCTCCGGACTGAGACCACCGTGAACACAGAGGAACTGTTGGTTCATGAGCGCTGCCAGGGGGAGGCAATCAAACGCTTCCATGCAAGCGTCGTACACGCGTTCAGTGTACTTTATCTTACCTAAATAACATACAAATTAAAGTTATCTATGGATCCCTTTCAGTTCTTAATCATTAAAAGGAATCCCATCAGATCCCATATTGAAATAAGGGAATCCCAAAAGATTTCTAGGGTTCTCTAGAGGTCCTAGGATGTCTAAAAAGTGCACCTATGACGACCATAGAGCATGTCTGAGTGGATCCAAAAAAGCTACGGGCATATAAATAGATCCCAAGAGATCCCAAGACAACTCAATAGATTCTAAGATATCCCAGAAAGTCCCATGAAATCCTATGATGTCCCAAGAGATCTAAAGAAATCTAACAGCAAACCCTATTAGATCTCAACTCACAACTTCCCAAAATCAAGGAACTTCAAAAATAATGGAAAAGGCAAATTAAAATCTTAGAAAGCAACAAAAATAGTCTAATATTTTTGGATACAAATTTTGTATATTTCTAGGGATAAAGTTGAGGGATTTAAAAAAATTAATCCTAAATCCTTTTGTTGGAAGAGCTTTGAAATAAAATTCTTTGATACAAATGATGTTGAGATAAATACTGGAAGGAATAAAAAATTCAAGTTGAGCTGATCAGGAGTAAAAAAAACACGTAAAACTTAATCAAATTTTCGTGAATTTCACTCTTAAACAGATTAAGTAAAAAGTATTAAAATTGTTTTAAACCCCTTTAATATAAAATTGGATTAAGAAAAAATGAATTGCAATTGAAGTTAAATTAATATCTTAGTTCAAAATTTCAATTTTTTCATCGAATTCTAATTTATTCCTTTACAAAAAAAATGATTAATTAAAATCTTTTTGGAACTAGTTTCTACAGAAATAAGGGAGAAGGAGGGAGGGGGGTTGGGGGGAGGAATCTCAATAAGAAATGCTGGAAATAAAATTTTGTTAACAGACAAACTAATTAATTTTGAATTTTTTTATTCTCAGGCATTAATCTGTTTAATCAATAATTTTACAAATAAAACAAATATTTAAGCACTTCATAGATTCCCAAATCTCTGCTGAATAAAAAAATATTCAAGATATAAATTAACAAAATGTATCAACTTACATTCTTGCTTGAATGTGAAGTACTCTGTCAGATGCCGGCATTCATGATTTCCTCTCAGAAGGAACAGAGTAGTGGGATAGCAGAGTTTCAGGGCCCACAGGTACAGTACACACTAAACAGTTAAATAGTTTCAGGGCCCACAGGTACAGTACACACTTAACAGTTAAATAGTTTTAAGCCCCACAAGTACAGTACACACTAAACAGTTCAATAGTTTCAGGGCCCACAGGTACAGTACACAATAAACAGTTAAATAGTTTCAGGGCCCACAGGTACAGTACACACTAAACAGTTAAATAGTTTCAGGGCCCACAGGTACAGTACACACTTAACATTTAAATAGTTTCAGGGCCCACAGGTACAGTACACAGTACACATTAAACAATTAAATAGTTTCAGGGCCCATAGGTAGAGTAACACTTAAAAGTAAAATAGTTTCAGGGCCCACAGGTACAGTACACACTGAACAATATAATAGTTTCAGGGCCCACAGGTACAGTACACACTAAACAATTTAATAGTTTCAGGGCCCACAGGTTCAGATAACACTAAAATTTAATAGTTTTGGGGCCCACATGTATAGTACAAACTGAACAATATACTAGTTTCAGGGCCCACCGGTACAATTAACACTAAACAATTGATAGTTTCAGGGCCCACAGGTACAATTTCACTAAACAATTTAATAGTTTCAGGGCCCACAGGTTCAGTAGGTGAAGAAAAGTACAAACTTACAATTCATAAGTTTCAGGGCTCACAAATTCATTTGTACCCTTAAAACATTAAACAACTGCCCACAGAAACAGAAAATAATACAATATATTACTATTAAATTCAATGCAATTTTGAGTTCGCATACGAAATTATTAAAAATTTCTGAAGCAGAAATAAGCAAGTTACTTTTTCCAGACCTTAACTAACAAAAGCTTTACGGAAGGTACCGTTGTGAAGACATTGCGTCACTTAAAATGTCATTCCTTTAGTCCCTTTAAGCCAGGCCGGCTGGTAAATGTTTACCTCTATACTGAAGTATCCTCTGTCTACGTAGTCTCCTAGGAATAGGTATTTAGTGCTGGCAGGGGGTCCTCCAACCTCGAATAGTTTCATCAGGTCGTAGAACTGGCCGTGTATATCCCCACATACTGAAATATTTTGAAATATTATTTTTAATCCGATAAGAACTTGCTAAGTAGGTTCCCATGGTTATTCATTATTCATCACTTGGGAAATTACCATATAACCCCGGAATCAAATTCAAAAAACAAAAAATCACATTGGAAGAAAAAAATAAATTCCATCGTCTTTGTTGTTATGGACAGCATAAGAATAATACAAATTTTACCGCATGTATAGCAATAGTTGTGCATTTTCTCAAAAGCTAGTTTATTATAATAACGTTATAAACATTATCATTATCAAACCTTCCTGAAACAAAATAAGTTTTAAGACATGGAAACCCTCTTCACAACTCTACGATGGTTATATAACGAATTCAGTCTTAGTGCGCTCCAAGGAGCCAACATATTTAATTTTAAAATGGTAAAATTGATGTCCAATTTAATTGTTTCCTCAGAGATCGAAATTGACACCCACCCCCCCAAGTTTATAGAACTTCAATCTTTTTTGTTAACTATAGTGAAAACCATAGAATTTTTCAGGGTGGTTCCATGGGGAAAATTAT